AAAAAAAGTTACACACATTAAATGAACTAAACAGTAAAAATAAATGCATGAAACTTCCAATAAGCATTTACCTTTTGCTTGTCTAATATGAAGGTCACTCCTTGCTTGTTGAACCACCCAAGAGTGTCACACAATATTTCAAAAAACTATTTCCATGAACTCTTTGTTTCTCCTTCAACAACTGCAAATGCCAATGGATAGCTATTGTTATTCCCATCCAAACCAACAGCTTGCAACAGTTGTCCCTTGTATGGCCCTTTCAAATGGCAGGCATCAATCCCAATGAATGGCCTACATCCTGCCAGAAAACCTTGCTTGCAACCTCCAAAGCATACAAAAATCCTTTGAAACCTAGGCTTGGCTTCATTTATTTCATGTTCTTCATTTTCTGCATCATCATCATCTTCCTTGACTATGATAGTTGTCCATGGATTAGTTCTTTTTATCTCTTCACAGCAATCCCATAACTTGGCATATTGTTCGATGAGGCTTCCCTCTATCAATTCTTGTGCTTTTCTCTTTGTCCTATATACTTGGCTCCTGGATATCCCAACTTTGTGCTCCTTTTGCACAGCTTGCTTGAATGACTGCACTGGAATAGATGGATTGGACTTCAATGTCTCCAAGTACTTCTTAGACAGCCATGTAGAATTCACTTGTCTGTTATAAAAAAATTCGGCCACAATTGTGAGTGGGGACATATGTCTTTATCTGGAATGATGGTTGTCCTTGCAACTTGGATGCATAAAGCATCCACTCACATGGTGGCTTACAAGTGGCCCTAACCCTCATGCTATTATTTTTGACTAACTTAATAGCCTTCCCAGTCTTAATACCATGCTCCTTAACAGCAGCTTTCAATATTTTGGCAGTGCCAAAAACCATGCCAACCTTGAACTTTGGGTCTGCCATATCTGTGTTTGGATTAAACTCTGGGTATCTAACCTTGTTGCTTCTAGCCTCTTCATCAAAAGATTCATTAATGCTCTTGAGGTCATCAAATGTAGCATCAGGCTCTAGGCAGTCAATATGAGGTACCTCAACTCTTTCATCATTATGCTTCTGCCTCCCTAACCCACCCCATTCAACATTCCTATCAACATTAGCATCAAATAGTATGTCATCCTCATTGAAATCATGGTCACTATCCTCGGCAATGGTGCCAAAATTTGATGGGTCGTTACACACACCAAAAATAAACACTAAACTATACCAAATCCTTTTAGAATAATGGCAAGTCCAAGTATCGATCCACAGGGACAATTGTGAAATTAGACTAATTTAATCACTAAATTCCTAAATTAATTTTGATTGAAAAGATTAAGAGATTTTATGACTAAAAAGGAATTAAATAAATTAAGAAATTAAATTGACAGTTAAAATTAGGGTTTGAGATATCAATTTTTTGGAAAAAATTCTAGGGCAAATAATTCACCACTAACCATATGAACGAGATTAAACATCGGCTATCAATTGCAATCCGGTTTGAAATACCCAATATTTCACAACTACAAGTTTGAAATATTGATCAAGAGGGTTGTTGCATTCAACGTACAGACACGAGTCATTCTGAGTAGCACGAGGCGTTTGCTCTAAACTACGGTAGCAACACAACCCGTCTCTCGTAACATGACTTGTCTCGTACTTTGAACACAAACACAAAGAAAACTAATGTATGGAAAGTATTAAACAATCACAGAGAGTAAAATACTTGAAGAGATGAAAAGAATAATTATTATAAACTTCTGAAACATCCATACATTGATTCAAGCCGAATCACAATCAAAGCATATGAAAAATCCTATTACATGGCTAGGGTTTCATCAAAACCCTCGAAAAGATGAGCTTAGCCCCTCATGGAGGAGTGTGAAGAGGTAGAAAAGATGGAAGACCCCATGGAAGTTGGATTGAAAGCTTAAGAATCTTTCTTTTCCTCCAAACCCTAGCCTCTCTATTCTTGGAATCAATTTCAAAACCCTAATCCAGCCTCTTTTTTGCCTATTTATACTTCTGTTGTCTTTCAAACAAGTTTAAAACATCGGCCCGTTTTTCGAGAAAAGTCAACGCACATGCGAGAAGCTGTTTTCTCTCAAAATTCTGTATTTTGCCCATTTTTGCTCCGACTATGTACAACCTGATTGACATTAAACAGACAAAATATATAGTTTGACAAGCAAGTAAAGTTAAGAGATCCTAATTAACGGCCTCAATGTTGTACAATTCAGCCTTAATCAGTCGACATGCGTGAATATATAAACATATATTCACCTCGTCACTTTTAAACAAAGCAAAGCAAAAGTAGATTCTTTGACCCACCCAATGCTTCAACTTGCAGACAAATAAAATAAAGCAAAATACAAAACCAAAAAAAAAGGTAAATAGTACTTTTTTGCTTACCATAATCTGGTATTTCATTACCAATCTTTACAATCGCCATGTTTGTCTTTTCACCTCGCCAATTGTTTTCTTCTCTATCCACACCAATTTGAGCAGATTTACAATCAAACAATTTTTTGGTAACTTAAAACCCTAGAAATGATTCGATTGTGTAGAGACAAAGAGAATGGACTTACTAATTTTTGGAAGATGCAAGTATAGGGACGATGGAAGTAACTAGGGTTTGAGGTGAAAAGACGAGTATGCCCCTCAGTAATTGCTAGAGGGAGTATGTGAGAGGCAGGTGTTGGCTTTCCGTCCAAAATTTCAAACGGGCGTCAATTATTGGACGAAATTGACATACTTCGTTAAATTGAGGGGTTAAATCGCGCAGTTGGAAATGTCAGGGACCAAAATGACACGCGGGGTAAAGTATAGAGACTATTTCTGTAATTTGCCCTTTTTTATAAATAATCTACGAATAATGCTTTGTAGCTCAAAAAAATTGGCCTGAAGTGGCTCGAATACCCAAAACCACGTCATTTTGGGTATTCCTTTTTTTTTTCTTCTTCTTTTCTTTTCTTTCCCTTCCCTCTCTGAACTGAAACAGACAGAAGAAAGAGAAAAGAGACAAGAAAGAGAGAGAATGAGAAAATATGGAGAAAATGAAGAAGAGAAGAATGAGAAGGAGAAAAAAAGATGGAGAGAAAAAGGAGAATGAGAAGGAGAAAAAAAAAATGGAGAGGAAGAGGAAGAAGAAAAGAAAAAGAAGAAGAAGAATACACACACAGATCTGTGTATGCATACAGAGGAGACAGTGATGGCGGCAAGTGGCTCTCTCTCTCTCTCACTCATATATATAGAGAGATATGTATGTGTATAGATCTGTGTATACACACAGATCTGGTGTTGATGATGATGTGGTGGCTCTCTGTCTCTCATATATATATATATAGATATGTGTGTGTATAGATCTGTGTGTACACACAAATCTGGTGTTGATGATGATATGTTGTTGTTTGTTGTTTGTTGTTTGCTGTACAGATTCTACAATCTTTTTTTTTTCTTTTTTCTTTTTTTGTGATTGTTGGTTGTTGTTGATGATGATGTGTTGTTGTTGTTGTTGTTGATGTTGATGCTTTGTTTCTCTCGGTTCCCCAGCTCTCTTTTCTCTCTTTCTTCTCTCTTTTTCATTTTCATCTTCTTCATCTTCGCCTCTATTTCAGAGATAAAAGAAAAAGAAAAAAAATCCAAAACGACATCATTTTGGAATTCGAGCCAATCAGGCCAGCTCCCTCTCGAACTACCTAGCAACGTTGATAATCTACATACATAAATCTAAAAATATAACATCATATTATCAAAATGTGACAGACCCAAATTAAAAGGTGTAGCCCACTTTAAAAATTGGAGAGAAAATGACGTGGGAGAAGTATTGTCCATATATTTTATGGAGAGATTCATGTGAAGAGTGAAATATTTGTCACATCGACACATTTTGTTAATTAAAGGTTTGAATTATGAATTAATTTGGAAAGTAATTTTTTTGATTTTTTAATTAAAATATGAGTGGAAAAAATTAAATATTTACACAAAAAATAAAATTAACATTTTTTGTATGAGTTTTTTTTACTTATTTATTATAGGGAGATTTACTAGAAAATCATTTTTCGAGTGTTTGTATTTCAATTAATCCATAAGATATTCTTATATTCTAATAAGTCCTATTATTTGAACATTTGATCTACCAAATCCTAATTCTCATATTTAAAATATTTTATGGATATTTTTACCCTTACAAATATTTTTTGAATGGTTAGTAATTTAGTGATGTGAGCATTCATATTTTATAATGTGAATATTCACATTGATGTGTATATGTTCACACATTGACATATTAACATTCACATTAACGGTATGAACATTCACATCACGGAACATTAACACTGTAAATATGAATGTTATTATAGGTATTTTGATAACTATGTCACTCATAAGACTTATATAAGAAAATAATGTTAACTAAATGAAATATAAATAGATGAAAAGAAATTTATGAAAAAGTGTCCCTTTATTATATTAACCTCTTGCAATCTTAAATTTTAAGATACTAGGAACACGGAAGACCCAACCAAGAATGAATGTAAATGTCTTACAAAACATAGATCTTACGGATGAGCTATCTCATGTGAGTATTAAATAAAATATTGGCAAAATTGCTAAAATTAGCTAAACTAAATCAAATTAAACCGTGCATTTTTTAAGCTCAGGTAGGACAAGCAGGGTAGTGGTCTAGGGTTGACGGGTCGTACGAGTGATGGTTTGACAGGCCAACTCACCTCTCAAACCGACCTAGCCGAACCCGTCACCTGTATTTAATAAAACATAAACTCACACACTCAATCAAAAAAATTATTTAATACTCTCAGAACACCACATATTCATACTCAAAATCAATCATCAATTAATTAGCCTCGTATTATTTCTCATTTTCAACCTAAATCGTGAATACTTATATCTTACATCAATCAAATCAATCATCAATTAATTAGTCTCGTATTATTTCTCATTTTCAACCTAAATCGGGAATACTTATATCCTACATCAATCAAAACCTAACGAGCATCACGTGTCATATTGAGGAGTACTGACAAATCACCCCCACAATCAATTCCCAACTAAACTGAGTCGCATATCAGATTCCTAGGGAAGACACTCGCGCTTCTCCGCCTCCCTTGCCGATTGCCGTAGATCTCCGCCGTTCACCACCGCTTGTCGCCGCCAATTGCCGTCGCCTGGTACTCGCTCTCTCTCTCTCTCTCCCAAATCAGGGTTTAGGGTTTGTAGGGTTCCGAAGAATCCAAGTCGCACTGAGTGTAATCGCTGAATTCGTGTTCAATCACATCACAGAGAAACAAAGATGGGAAAAGCAAAGAAAGCCCCCAAATTCGCGGTCATGAAGAAGCTTGTAACCGCGAAAGCTATTAAACAGTGAGTGAACTCAATCTCTCTATTATATATCTTTTTCTGTGTATATAGATATATATTTCTTCTGTGGTGGTCTTCGTGATAAACAGGTATGGTTCGATCACGTCAAATTGGGATTGTCCTTGTGTGCAATGACGATAATTAGAGACTAATATGGAAATTATAAGCTTTTTGATTGATAATTGGTGTTTGCCATTGTTTTTGACTGAGATTATTGTTTCTTCGCCTCTAATTTCAACTCGAGGTTGTCTGTTTTTTTGCTAATATGTTTCCGCTGTTTCTATTGTTTTTGTTTTGTCCAAATTTTGTGTTCTATTTGGTGTTGGTTAATGCAAATATGCCCTTTTTAGTCACATATTGGAAATGACTTACCTAAATAAGATGGGGTTAATTTCACTTTTATGTAGTCCAGTTCGAGACCATTGTACAAATCAGTAATGGTTAAATCCTAATTTGATGATCAAAAAGATAATTTTATAATTTAAACAACTTAAATCATATAAACATCCATTAAATTGGTTGTGGGGTGTAGTTGAAATAATAAGAAAAATGAGTGTTTCGTTATATGATTTAAATTGCTCAAATTCTGAAATAACATTTTCCCATTAAATTAGGTTTCAATGGTTATTGATTTGAATAATCATCTCTAATTGGACCATATGAACAGAAATTAGAAACTTGAGGGACTAAATAAATGAAATTGATAGTTTAGGGAAGTAAAAAAATGAGAATAGTCTAGGGGATAAAATTGGGGTAGTGAATGTTGGAGATAGAACTGTTTTATCAAATTGGTCAAGTAGGCTTTTATTGAACAGTAGTTTGTTGATTTGACTGTACATATTCTGTACTGTATTGATAATCCCACTGTCGGCTCAGATCCAATGTTTTATTGTTTTTTTGCTGGCATTTCTATTTCAAATCTCTTTATATGTATATATACATCAACATCTTTGATATTCGATTTGAGAGATAATAGGTTTAGGGGTGGTTTGGGATGATCTAAATAAGTGTACTTTTTGACTTTTTGTGAAATATGAGTTGGGTTTGAAGTGATGTGGTAGAGAGGTAATGTGACTTAAATAAGATGATTTGACTTAAATAGGATAGTGATTTTTTGGCTTTTTGGCTTTTTTAGAGGGGCAAAACACCAATAAATCCCAAATTTTAATATGTTAAACCATTTGGTCCTGCCTTTTATTTTGTAGACTAATAAGTCCTATTTGAATGTTAAAAGCTCATTATGGGTTTTTTTAGATTTCCCTCCTTTCTGAACATTAGCAACATTAACTACACTAACAACATTATCAAACATCAACTACATCATCAAACATCAACTACATCATCAAATATCATCAATATCACCAACATTGATCAAACATCAACTACATCATCAAACATCAACTACATTATCAAACATCATCAACATCACCAACATCATAAAACATCATCAACATCATCAAACATCAACTACATCATAAAACATCATCAAATATGAACTACATCATCAAACATCATCAACAACACCAACATCATAAAACATCATCAACATCATCCAACATCAACTACATCATAAAACATCATCAAATATGAACTACATCATCAAACATCATCAACAACACCAACATCATAAAACATCATCAACATTGATCAAACATCAACTACATCATCAACATCACCAACATCATAAAACATCAACTATATCATCAAACATCAACTACACATTATCAAACATCAACTACATCATCAAACATCAACTACATCATCAAATATCATCAATATCACCAACATTGATCAAACATCAACTACATTATCAAACATCAACTACATTATCAAACATCATCAACATCACCAACATCATAAAACATCATCAACATCATCCAACATCAACTACATCATAAAACATCATCAAATATGAACTACATCATCAAACATCATCAACAACACCAACATCATAAAACATCATCAACATTATCAAACATCAACTAAAATATCACCAACATCACCAACATTGTGAACATTATCAAACGTCAACTACATCTTCAACCTCATCAAACATCATCAATATCACCAACATCATAAAACATCATCAACATCATCAAACATCAACTACATCATCATACATCATCAATATCACCAACATTGTAAATATCATCAAGCATCAACTACATCTTCAACCTCATCAAACATCATCATACACCAATATGGGATACAATATATTGATGTTTATACAATATAACAAATAAAGATACCATACCAAATATAAAATATAACAAACAAAGATGCCATACCAAATATAAAAGGACTAAATGATTTACAAAAAAACACTCAGGACTAGATAGAGCAACATTTCCCAATATGGGATTTATGAGTAATTTTTCCTTTTTAGAGTACCCCAAACAAGGCCTTAGATTTTCAATTAAATGTGTTGTTATGGAAGAATTAGACATCATTGCTTGCTTATGATTTATAGTTGTTCAAATATTGAAGGACAGAGTAGTAATTGTGACTAAATTTTAATTGTACATTTCTTCTATTTATATATATGTACATATTTGTATTTCTGTGTTTCATACTATTAACAATCTTTATGTATTTAGCCACAAAGAAGAGGTTTTGAACCCTAACAAAAAGGATTTGCGCAAGGAAAAGCTTCCTAGAAATGTGTAAGCTCCCTTCTATATGACTAGTGTTTATGTGTACGTCTTCATGTATGTAGATATGTTGATGTACATAATTCAAATATTTGTTTTGTTTATGTGGTGCAGGCCGTATGTTTCATCTGCTCTTTTCTTTAAGTATAACACTGCACTGGGGCCGCCTTATCGGGTTTTGGTTGATACCAACTTCATCAATTTCTCCATCCAGAATAAGGTGAGTGTTCTTTCAAAACTTTTGTTGTTTTTCGTGCATTCACTCTAATGACACCGTGCGTTTGATATTCATGTGTGGTGCAGTGTTTGGTTGCTGATAAAGTTATGGGAAACCAATGAATTTAAGGTTTTTTTTTGAGCTGGGGAGAATAAGTTAATGTTTGATATTGTCATTTTGATTGCAATTTAATACAATGACAAATTGCTGTCACTTGAAGAAGCAAATTAATTCTAATTCAATGGCATCCTTTTTGTCCACGGCTACTTTTCTTGTTGAAAAAATGTAATGAGACGATATTTCTTTGTGACTGACTTGAGAAAACAAAGTAAAGGATTTGGCTTGAAAATGGTTAAGTTGAGAACTTTCATTTCACGCTCAAATTTTCCTCTTTTTTCTCTTTCTTACCTCAATTATTGCTAGGCTTGGATGATGATTTTGTTTTTATTGGATATTTTAACTATCTATCTAGCATATGGCTTTAGAAACTCTACTCAGCTTAGCATGATTCATGTATTTGGCTTAGTAGAGTTTGGGTCTCTGTTTATTGAAGCAGAACACAACCAGTAACATCATTTCAAGTTTCTCTTTCAATTATTTCCCCCAGTTCTCTTAGCTAACCAATGGAGTTTATATAATTCGTGTTAATCTAAAAGAACATTAGTTGTCATCTTATAAATGTGTTATTAATATTGAGTTCTTCTTTTGTTATTAAAAAAAAACAAACAGTAATCTTCCCAGTGGTGGTATTGATGTTTGTTTCAGTTCTGTTTATGTTAATTAACTGGTCTATTTCTTGAGTTTTTAACTTGTTGACACTGGCATTACTGTGCTATGAATGCTACAACTAATTCATTTTCGTATATATTCTGGTGTAGTTGGATTTGGAGAAAGGAATGATGGACTGCTTATATGCAAAATGTAAGTTTTGTATTACAAGTCTTTGCCTTAAATATATTAATCACTGCCTTTTTACTGCATGTTGTCCTTTTTTCCTGTGCTGTTGTTAGAGTTTCTTGAGAAATGTGTATTAAATGTAAAATTTAGACTTTAAACATCAACATAATGTTGAATCTTGATTTCATTATCATCAGTGGGTAACTTCACAATTTCTAATTGCACATCCTTGGTCAGTAGTTTGCCATTCTAGTCTGGCCCACAGTAATCCCTTTGGGTTGTGTGGCAGTAGGATTACTGCCATAGAGTTCATTTCATCGTTGTCTAAGCATTTAGGTTCATTTCATAGTTGTCTAGCATTTAGGTCAAATTTCTATCGGCACTTGTAATAATTATACTGGTATCTGTTGTTTCTTGTTGTTCAATCATGCAAAACTTATACTTTTGTTAAATTCTATTGGCACTTGGGTTTTGAAGGTACTCCTTGTATCACCGATTGTGTGATGGCAGAGCTTGAGAAGTTAGGTCAGAAGTACCGTGTTGCGTTGAGGTATGCTCCCATGATTCTTTCTTGGGAATTCCAATTCTAAACTACTTTTACTAAGATCTAGTTGGGAATTTTGTTTTTGCCATTATTGTTCTTCAGTTATGTTAGAAGGAAAACCATCTAATTCCTGTGTTTCTGAATAACAAGACTGCAATTTTATCTTTATGAAAAGATGCATTCACTATGCAAGAAGTGAGTAGAAGATATGATATTCTGCACAGAAAGTGCGTTGAAACTTTGAACCAAATGCAAGAGGAGGACTCAAACTTAATGCAATACAAGTATTTTTATTTTCATCAACCATCCAAAAATATATAAGTATAATTTAACATTCATTTACGAGTATTTATGCCTTGGGAATGTTGCTATCATTTCAACTTTCCAGTGGCTTATTGTTTGTGTTTTATTTTTTTTTTACCATCTTCTGTTATTATGATTTTAATGACAATTCTCTTGATAATAAGAGTATTTGGGATTCTTAGCGTTTTGGTCTTTTGGGTTACCATGCCCTACTTTTAAATATTCTCTTTACTTTTTTTTTTTTCCCTTTCTCTCAAACAGGATTGCAAAAGATCCTAGGTTTGAAAGGCTCCCCTGTACTCATAAAGGAACCTATGCTGATGACTGTATCGTTGATAGAGTTACCCAGGTACGATTTGAAACCATCTATCTACTGTTCTATGTGTCCGTTCATTTTGTTCCATGTTTTCCTTTGCCCCTAGACCTCATAATATTTGAGATTAAGGCCTATTTTGGCAAGTAGCTAAAATAGCCTAAAAGCCACTACAAAAAAGTCAATGGTTGCGTTTGGTAAAGTTTTCTAAATATGATTTGATAATAGAGTTGTATTTTGAGTTCATGAGTTTTGGAATTATGATTTGAGTGTGGAAAATTTGTTTGGTGAATGAGTTTTGAAAAGAATTTTGAATTGAGTTGGGAATTTTTGATGTAACATATGACATTTGATACAAAAACTTACAACTCATAACCAAACACACAACTCAAAATTCTATTAAAGCTCATAAAAAAAATTTAAAAATTCGGAAAATATTTTTTATTGAATATATAAAAATTAACATGTGTCAATTGCCCCCCCCCCCAAAAAAAAAACAAAACAAAACAAAAAAAATTGCACTGTTCCGGTCAACTGGCCAGACGATTGGTTAACCCAAATTTTCCCGATTTCGACTGCGTTTTCAAAAGTGAGCGTGGAATTAATTTTGGAAAATCGTAGGTTGCGTTTGGTAAAGTTTTCTAAATATGATTTGAAAATAGAGTTCTATTTTAAGTTTGTGAGTTTTGAAATTATGATTTGAGTGTAGAAAAATTGTTTGGTTGTGAGTTTTAAAAATAGTTTTGAATTGAGTATTGAATTGAGTTTTGAATGTTTGATGTGACATGTAAAATAAGAAAATTTGTTTGGTTATGAGTTCTGTAAAGAGTTTTCAAAACTTAATTCAAATTGTTATAACTCATAACCAAACACACTATTCAAAACTCTATTAAAAATTCTGATCAACATTTATAACCAAACTCTTTTTAAAATTCAATTAAAAAAACTAATTATTAACAAAAAATAACATTAATCAATTTTTTTAATTGAAAATACTACAAATGAAATAAATTTTTTTTCAAAATAAATATTCAATTACTGATTTATTGTATGTTTGATTCGAATTATTTTTTTTGAATATTTTTGATTTAAAATATAAAAATATATATTATTTTTAAAAAAAAAAAAATCAAAAACAAATTCCCATTTTTTTCCCCAAATAATAAGTGCCATTTGCAAAAAAAAAAAAAAAAAAAAAAAAAAACCTGTGAGACGATCGGCCAGACATCCGGAGCGGAAAACCCAAAGAGTAAATTCCAAATTCAAACTCCCAATCTGCCTACCTACAGTTGAGATGGAATAATAGAACCAACAATAGGGCTACCCATTGGGTAGCACAAGCCTGTGTCCATAATGACCTTCATGTAAGTTGGGTTTCAAACCCTCCAATGACTCTCTGAAATTGTTGGGATTGATGCTCTTCTCCTGTGAGGGATTCTGTGTAACTCTTTTTGTTCAAAAAAAAAAAAAAAAAACTCCCAATCTGCCTTGTTTCAGAGCTGCATTTGATAAAAAAAAACCCAGTTACGAGACACCATCATATTTGATTCCACACTATGGGTTGGTTGGAAAGAGGGAGCGAGAAAGGGGAGAGAGTGAAAATACCCGGAATTTGTCATCTCACATGCACATAAAAACAGAGTGACAGAGAGAGATCTGCCAAACACACATTTCAGCAGGTTTTCAAATGGGCGCTGGAATTAACTTTTGAAAATTCAAATCAAACATGACATTGGAATGTAGGGATGGAATTATAGTTTGAAAGTATAACCAAACAGAGCCGTAAACAAACATCATGTTCAAATCAAGCTCTGGAACTAACGTTCTAGAGCTCCACCAAACAGAGCCAATTCTTCTCCCTAATTTTCTGCAATTTCTTTTTTGGTAAAAAGACAAAAAACTAACTAAAATAACTCATTCCCAAAACTACCCTAAGTTTTAGTATATTTGTTTGCCACTTCGCAAATATTCAACAGTTTCAGATATATACTAGAAGTTACTTTTGGTTTCAGTGTACCAAGTGTGGAGTAACATATGATAGGTAATATAGGGATATTATTCTTTCTGTATAACCATTGGTTTTTTTTTAATTGACTTGCAACAATTTGAATGGATACTGTTTGCTTGGGGCTGCCTTTGGCATCCATCTTTCTTGTGTGTAATAAGATTATGTAAATGTGACTTCGTTTTCATCTATAAAATCAAAATCTGGAAGAACATTATCCTTAAATATCTAATATAAAATACTAGGGAAATTAACTCAATTATAAAATGTTAGGATCTGATAGAATTCAATTTACAACCATTTGCTATTATTACGGAAGACCTAAAGCAACTCCAACACACTACCTTGGTTTTGTCTAATGTGCAGTAAACTAATGCTTGGAAAGTCAAAATTCTACAAATAGTTTTCTACTTTTCTTATTCACCTTTGGGTATTAACTATTAAGCCCTCATGACCCTTTTTGACTTTTTTCATATCCCAGGAAAATGGTTTACAGGGAATATTTTTTCTGAAATTTAGTCTCAAACGGGGGGTACTTGGATGTGAACTTCACATTGTGCCTGCCAGTTTTTTCAACAAAGATCTTGTTACACCATATTATTATGACAAATATCAAACTCAAGTCAATGTAATGAAATTGCGGTTTTGAAACCATATAAAGAACTAACAGATAACTGTAAACATGTAGGACAAAATTGGCCATAAACATTGCAAAGCCTCTCTGTTCTCTGCCGTTCGGTTTCTGGTTTTTATTCTGTTGTGTCTGTTTTGACCTCTATCTCTGTACAAGGGCTTCTTGTCCTCTTTCCTCTTCTTGCTTTTGTTTAATAAAATTCTTTGTGGATGTTTAAAAAAATTCAAAAAGGGGCTCCACCTGTTGAAACATACCCTGTTTATGCTTATTGTTGAAAGGTTATCATGCATTTTGTTCAATTATGAAGCTTTCCTTAAAGATCAACTTTCTAATGGCACCTTTTATGGATCTGTGTCTTGCATGTTATAAGCATTGTAAACGATGCCACAGTTCATTTTATTTTTAGGTTGTTATGTTCAACACTACCATGTTTCCATTTTTTGTTGCATAATGATTGTATAGGCTTAAGGTGGGGTTTCTTGAATTAATGGATGATTTCCCCGTTCCATTTGAAGTGTTTTTTTTCATTTTGAAGTTTTATATGCTTTAATGAAAGTAACCTATCAAAAAAAAAATAGTTCTAATGAAAGTGAAAATGGATTTGTCAGGGTTGTCATTTTTATTCATCACTTGTTAAATGATTGATCAAGTCTTTTTGTACAGTTTGTGGCTTTTACACTAAGTGTTTTCATAATTATCCAAATTGATCCGTTGCATCCCTCATTCTTTTTGCTGACCAATTTACATGAAATATTTTTTTGGCACAGCATAAATGCTACATTGTTGCTACATGTGATCGAGATCTGAAACGAAGGATCCGCAAGGTACAATAAATTGATGATGGCTTATTTATCAAAAAATAAATAAATTGATGATGGCTTCCTATTTGGTTATTTTACAGTGTCTTTGGATTGTGATACATTTATATGATGGTTGATGAACAGGTCCCTGGTGTGCCGATCATGTACATTACAAAGCACAAGTATTCAATTGAGCGGTTGCCTGAGGCTACAATGGGCGGAGGTATACTAGATTGACTGAAGCCTCCTCTACAATGATATTTCTTGAGTTTTTCTTTTACATATTTTATTCCGACACTTATATGTTTTGTTGCAGCTCCGAGAGTCTGATGTCATGAGGTGCATCTTTCAGCGATCAATGCGCATAGTTTCTATTTATCTAATGGTACAGTGCTGTGGTATGTCATATGAAGATCCTTGATTGGTGGTTCTAGGAACTTACCTTGGGGGATATGGTTCTGGCTTCTCTACAGTGCATTGGGAATTTTTTTTTTCGAAAGTCATTTTTTATATTTATATTTGTAGTAGTAGTAGTAGTAGTAGTAGTAGTAGTAGTAGTAGTAGTAGTACTTTCTTCTTTCCTTGATGATGTTAATTTATATCCATGGATTATAGCTGATAATTCTTCTTCTGTTTTTTTTTCCTTTCTTTTCCATTTGTGCTTTTGCTATTTTTTTCTCTGAGCTTTCACCTTTTCTGGCTAATTTTCTAGGCCCTGTTTGGGGCTTTGGGGCTATTGAACTTATTTGAAGGTGCAAAATTAGTGTTGAAAAAAGGACATGTATGAAATTGCCATTTTTTGTTTGAGGGCAAGTTTCAAAAAGGAAGCAGCTTGCCTCCAATCTGAAATCGGTTCGGCCTGTGAGGGTTCATCACGGGTCTCGTTTTAATAATCCGAACCGTTCAATGTGTAGAACTCGCCAAATACTATATGTCTGTTAAAAATCACGTTAATCGGATATCGATAGTTATCTCATCGGATCAGTTTTTTGTCAATCGTTAATTTGTTCATTGTTATTTTTTTTTTTATACAAAACTGATTTGATCATATAGCTATTGATATCTGATCAAGAGATTTTTATAGACATATAGCACTCGATGATTTTTACACATTGAACGGTTCAGATTATTAAAACGGAATTCGTGGTAGGTTCTCACGAGTCGAACAGCACTGTCCAGTTCAATAGTTCAATCTCGGACTAGAGGCAAGTTGTTCCCTTCAAAAAATGTTACCAGCTTTCCATTCTTTCTTATATTTGACAAAGCAAAAGGAGCGGAAATATTTATTTTATCGGTCCCTCTATCCATAATATATAAATTGTATTTAGATTTTGAATTTTTTGATTTGTATAGTGAGAATAAAATAATAATGGAAAACATAAATGAAATAAAGCTTTAAATTTTTTTAATCCTTTTCTCTTTGTTGGGCAAATTGAGGATTGAAAGACTTGTCTATGAATCTTTTGGCGATAATGTTAAAAACACATTTTTTTAATAAGAGAGTCGTACAAAATAAGATGATAATTATGAGTCAAGTGAGGGATTTTTATTTTTATTTTCAATAAATAGATAAATGGGCTAATATCATTTTGTATACATTGTTCATGGCTTAGACATTATGATTGTTAAATTTAATTAGGATCGGTGAGATTTGAAATAAAAATAAAAATGGTGAGATTTGAAATAAAAATAAAAATTGTAAATTTCAATAAGATCATAAAATTTACATAATATACTTCAAAATTAAATATACATTTGCAGAAACCCTAGATTTTTTTGGGATGAATTCAAACTCTAAAGCCCTACAAACTTTTTTTTTTTTTGTGATGAAGTCAAACAATAAAACCTTACAAATTGGTCGATTCTTACAAGGTTTTCAAATCCGAGCCGAACCGGCCGGTCGAACCGGGAATCGGGCCTCCCTCTGGTTCGAAAAACCCTCAAGACCCAATGTAGACCAAAACCGGCCTTATTAGTGAAAACCAGAATAACAAGTGGTTCAACCGGGAAAATTGGTGAACCAGTGCCAGTTCTATGGATGTATCAACTCAGTTTTTTTTTTTTTTTTTCTCTTTCTTTCTTATATATTTATATATATATTATCAAATTTTTGACTAAAAACTCTTACTTCAAGAGTCTCCTCTCATGAGGAGAAGTCTCATTGAAAGTTTGAAGAAATTATAAAAGTCTATTCCTATTTATAGGAAAAAAAATTGTTCAAAGAGAACCTAAAAATTCAATGTGGGATTCAATCAAATTATTTGAATCATATTTGATTGGAGGGAGAGTTGAAATTTTCATTTCCCTGCAAAATTAAATCTAGCATTCAATCAATTTGTTTGGAGGGAATGTTAAATTTTTATAATTTCTTTAAAAACTAGTGACTTTTTTTTGTCAATTATGACTTTATTAAATATTATTAGTAAATATTATGCAACACTTTTTTTTATTATTTCAGTAATTATATATATTTTTATTTATTTATAATTTATAATTATATTTTTAATTATATAATATTAATTATGACGTCACGGTTCGACCACTTCGACCCGACGGTTGAACCAGTGACCCGATCCTTTTTCCGATTCACTTACCATTCCGATTTTCAAAACATTAGATTCTTACACGAAAAGAATGAGAATATATGTAGTACTCTTGTTGTATGAATCTTCTTCCTCCATTAAACATAAGCAATGAGACACAAAATAGAGAACAACAAATAAACAAAATTCATAAATAACATGCACGCAATAACACAAAATTTACATGGCTCATCTTAAATTAGGGTTACGTCCAGTTGCGATTGTACTATGATCACATGAAACAGACCATCCAACATTCTCACTCCAATATTCAGTATCTTGAGCTTCACAACCCGAACTGTGCACGTGAACGCATGCACTCTCCGCTACACGCTTCTTCATCACCACTGCTATGACTTTTCTTCCCTATCAAGCTCTTGACCAAAACATGAACAGAGCCGATGCATTTGTCCTTGCGAAAGCATCAAACACAGTAGATCTCAAACACCATAGTAGAGCACGGATTGATCAGCTCCGAATCGACAATGAACATGAACCAACCCTAGTTGTGAGCTTTTGATTAGGGTTGATCGACACAACCACGTAAGTATGTTGAATGTTCTCCTTCTTCTTGGAGAGTAGTGAATTGCATAGAAGCGGTAGTTGTTGGGCTGAGATGAGATTGAGTTCAACAGTGGTGGTTTCCATGATCAGATATTTTTTTGAAAAGCAAAGGAAATTGAAAGTGAAGAGTAGAGAAAGTGAGAAGAGTTTGATGAATGAACAAGAGATTGAGAAATCAGTAGAGATAGGTTTACAAGTTTTCTTAGTAACATCCAAATATTTATACATATATATATAAAGCAACAAATATATTACACGGTTACGTAAATGAGTATGCTGCCTGTAGAGTTCTAATTTACTTGGTTAAAAAAACCACTCGTTTACGTACCTTTTTAAAAAAAAAATAATTTAAAATTCAAGTTAAGTAGGTTACTTGTGGTACATTTTTGACGTGCAAGAGGATATTGGTTCATTGGATGTAGAGGATACAAATTCAATTATGTTAACAATAATAACAAACATACCCATAAACATTTTAATTAGACCCCCCAAAAAAGGTAATTAAATTGGTAGTCCTTGTATTTTGCTCTTTGTGTAATTTTGGTCCCTATGATTTAAATTTGCTTAATTTTGATATTTAATTTTAAATTTTATATCAATTTGGTTGGTCCAATTGATAATGTCGATGAATGTTTTTGAAAGAAAATGATTACTGAATTAATTGAAATTAATTTACTGAACAGAATAAGTATATAAGTTTGCTTATAAACATAACATATGCCACTTATGTACATATTTTTCATTAGAAAACACTAATGATTGTAATCAATGGGACAAAATTAAGATAAAACCATAAATTGATGATCAAAATCAAGCTAATTAAAATTATAAAGATTGAAATTGAGACAAAATCATTAATTTATGACCAAAATCAAGTCAAAATTATAGAAGGATCAAAATGACATTAAAAAAAATATGAAGACTGCTTATGTAATTTGCTCTCAAAAAATTATTGGTAATAATAACAAATTATAAATGAGATGACAGAGATATTTATTGCGTCTCATTATTGTATTTTAAGATTTCTCATTAGTTAATAAATACTTGCTCTTTTTTTTCATACGTAACATTGCTAAATTAGTATACGAAAAATGTTTGAGAGCTATAATTTTTGTGGCTCAAATGGTTCGAAATTGCCAAAACGACGTCGTTTTGTCATTTTGATAATTTCGAGCCATTCGAGCCACAAAAATTATGACCCTCAAACATTGGTGATTAGTATACTCCCACACATCCAATGAACCAAATATGCTGCCACGTCAAGAATTGTATCACAAGAAACCTTAATTAGTTAGCTTTGAAAAACAAAAATCACATACAAAAACAAGTGGTTCATTTCCATGTAAATTGGGACTCCATATGCCACCATTGTTGAACTCAATCTCATCTCAGCCCAACAACTACAACTTCCATAGCAGTGGCGAAGAAGAAGCGAGCAACGGAGAGTGTGTGGCGTTTTACGTGCACAGTTCGAGCGGTGAACCTCAGGGGATACTCAACATCAGTTGGATGGTTTGTTTCATGAGAGCTTTCTCAGTTCGAGTATGGCGGTTGACTACATAAAACTGATGATGGGTGACGAAGAAGATAGTGAAACTGTGCACTGCTATCTATGCATCTCGTCTGTAGCTGTTTTGAATGATAGTGAAACGTTAGAAACTTGTAGTCAAGTTTATATATACTCCCTCCCTCCTGTTTTATTAGTCCATTTTTTTTGTCTTAAAATATATGTCCACTTCCAAGTCAGAACTTTAAATTTTAAATTTTTTTAAAATTATCCCTCATATTATTTTCCTAATTATAAATAAATTTAAAAATATAAATAGAAGGATATTTTTGAAATTAGTTATTTAAAATTCAAATTGAAGTGTAATAATTATTTGTCGTCTTAAAAAGTCGAAATTTTTCAAAAGAGACTATCACAATGGGCCAGATGGAGTATATAACACTAGTATACATTATAAGCATTGACTTGCATCATTATATCAGAAAGGCTGCAACTGTTACATACAAAGCCTCACATACAAATTACATACACATACCTATGCATCATCCTCTCTGACAAAAACTTTAAAATTAAAAAAATTTAAAAAAAAATGAAGAGTAAATTTCTAAAAAAGAATTGAATTTTATCAAATTAGCCCACATCCCTCAATAACCAACACAATGCTACCTCAAAACCCTGGCTTCAACAACCACAGTTGTGTTTGAACCTTCCACATCCTCTGGCAAAGGCTTCACATACCTTCCGATTGTTTTCTGGTGATGCCGGCTCTTGATTCTCGAAATCTTATCCTTACTTTGTTTCTTCCTCTTCTCTTTCTCTCGGTTTCTTTGACTTCTCTCCTTTGCAAACATGCCTTGCCAAAAGACCTCACCAGTAGATGGCCACAACCACCGTCTCTTAGTGTGATCAGAATCCAACTCCTCAGCTAAGTCCTCGTCCATGGCCTTGAGGGTCGTGGATGAGAACCATCTGACCCACATTTGACCTCTCCGGTTCTTGAAAATGTGTTGTTCTTGCATTAGACCAGTCTCTGGATTCACATGCACCATCCTCCGAGCGCTGTGGTATGCCCATACATTTACAAGCAGCTCAAGTACCCGAGAGTAGCAATGCTTGTCCTACCAGATAATATATATACCATTATTGCATTTGCTATAAAAGAAATCTAATTGCAAAACTAACTCAACCATAACAATCAAAATTAGGGAACTCTAAAGGGAAAAATGAGGAAAAAGAAATAAATAAAAAAATAGATAATGGGAAAAAAGAAAATTCAAGAGTGAGTTCCTCCATAGTATAATATCCATCCGTATATGAATGGAGTATTTGAAAATCAAATGAAAATAAAATAAGTTCACTTTGATTTAGGAACAGTGTTAGCAGAAAATGCTAATGTCCTAGTGTTCTACGTTTTGGTTTGCACGTTCCAAAACAGAAAATTTAGCGATCCCAAAAAATTCCAATATATTTCCTTAAGATTTCCTTAGAAGGAAAATCAAATACAACGAACTAAAACATAAGGAAAGTGAAGTTCTAGCAAAACAAAACACACCCATTTGGGGAAGGAGTGGTTTGGAAGCCTTGTCAGTGGTAGCGTGGAGGGAAAAAATGAATCATAATACTCATAGAAATGTGATTTTACATGATTAATTTGAAAAAAATAAATAAATAAACTGCATTTTATTTTATGTCTAATTTTTAAAACAAAATTTCTCTAGGAATTTCTTAAATTTTAACAGTATACTCTAGAGAACTCAACCCTTATCATACCACATTTTAAAGCAAGTGGCCTACAACATTTCTGTTCCCGATCTACTTACTAGAACGAGCTACATACTCGAACAATCCACGTTCCAGGTAACATAGTTTCAAAAGCATAGGAAATGATGCATTCAAAATGATTCTGTTATGGAATCAAAACTCAATTTGAACAAAACAATTCCACGAGTTATTTTTAGAACAAGGACCATCTTCATCAGAACCCTCAGTTGAAACATTACAATATTCATCTGCTTTTTGTTTTGAACTGGAATCAATTTAATTCTCAAGAGAAACCAAAAATTAACAGTAAGATCGGAACTATCTTGCAAGAACACAAAAGAAGTTGTTGAAGCAGAAGCAAGTCACCTTGGATAAACTCAGATAACAATAGCCACTTTGATGGTGCTCATCATAGAATTCTGCATCCAACACATCTACAAACATTCTGCAAATGAGGTCCACATTCATGCCAACAATTTCACCAGTTAATGAACTCCTAGACATTTTTGTGATATAAAATCATAACAAGCAATCATATGGAGATAACCGATGATGAAGGCCAGACTGGTATTGTTTTCAATTTTTATGTTTTTGGAAACAAAACAATGAAAAGCTCAGAAACACCAATTGTTTTCACATAGTTTTCATTTTAATGCAAAAATAACTTCAAAGTATTTCCTAAGAGTGGAACTTTTTAGAAAAAAAAAATTGAAAAACACTTTACCAAACAAATTTTCCATGTCAGTTTTCGTTTTTCTGTTTTAGAAAAATTAACATGGTTTTCAAAAATGATACAAAAGAGCTCAGAATTTCTCAAACCTGGAAAACATTACAAACTCCAAGAAGGACTTGGTTGGTAAAACCCAGCTGTGCATAACAGACCATGTGTCCCCATCCATAGGCATCGGAGGAAGAGACATCAAATCATGCTTAATGCCATACATCTTCTTTAGAGCCTCGGAAAAGGCAAACCTAGTTGCACACCCAATTTAAACTCAAAACCGTGAGACAAATACTAATTTTGCAGAAATGTAATTAAACAAAATTGAGTGATAGATACGACCACTCTTACTTGCAATTTCCAGCATTTATAGCATCACAGAATGTCCAAAAATCCTGTTGCAATGGGTTTCTTGGATCCGTGTCCATACGAATCCAAAAGTAGAGCGCATCACCGTGCCTTCGTGCTTGGATAGCATCCAATAATGCAGTTTCAGCAGTCTTAGACAAAGATTCCTGATTAAGACCAACATTATATGTGAAGCAATACTGTGTTTAAGGCTCAGATAAAAATAGCCACTCCATATATTTTCTGATTTAACCTTAGTTTCTGCATGTAACAGATTCCGGAAACACTATAACATCTCATAAAGGTTACTGAAGAGGAAGTTTCACCTCATTTTTGGCTCTCAACACGAACACAAATCAACCATCGTGCAACAGTATTGTAGCAAATTCTCTCAATAATATTCAACATAATTTGTCACAGCTGAAAACATCATAATTGTCAGTTCTTCTTGAATTAACTGCATGAGCTGATTGCCTTTTTTTTACCATTTTTTTTTTCTTTTAATCAAACTTTGTTCCAAGATGGCTTGTGGATTTCAATTCATATTTTATAGAAAATTTATGAATGTTCTAAAAAGTTTTAATGTCAGTTGCAATTCATCCATGTTACTGGACCTAATGATCCCTCTCTACAGTTTCATCCACCAGTCATAGGGCATGCTAGTCAATTTCCAACAGAATGTTCAAAACAACTATATCCAACTTACAAGATGGGAAAAAATTACAAGAACAAGGTAACACGAGACAAGAAATAAACCTTCAGAGAGACAGTACCAAGAGTGATCATATACCTTCCTTGCCGTTGCTCTCCACAACTGGAACCCTATCCAAGCATTTTTATGGATGCGGTCAACACGGTTAGCTATTGCAAAAAAGGCTCCATATTCACCAAGTGCATGTCGGTAGTAAGGATTGCTAAGAAGTGGAAGACGAGAAGGTGCATCAATATCATCTGTCCTGGGCCTTCGACCTTTGGTGGACTATAAGTTAAAAATTTATCAGCAAAATTATAAAAAAAAAAAAAATAAAATAGGATGACACAATGATTTTTGTGACTTACCAGCCCAAGTCCGCGATAGAGTGAAGTATTGTGCAAAAAAGGCCAAGTTCCTTCCCCCAAGTAAGGTTCATAAATGCATAATGGTTGACCTGTCCTTTCAAGCTCTCTATCATCCCTTTCATGCAGATCGTTCTTAGACCGATCAACCCTTTTGGCATTTCGATATACGTCCTCCCACGTTCCCCGAGATTGATCAGTTCTGTCCTTCAACTGCATCAAATTAAGAAAGGACAAAATTTTCCAAAAGAAAAAACATATTAAAGGAAATCATCAGAAATTTTTCAACCCAATTTCAAAGAACATAACAGCCTTCTGAATCGCTTACCTCTTCTTCTTCTCTTCTCTTCCTTCTATTAACCATATTAATGTTTTTTTGTTCCTCCCAGATACTATATACAAATGTTTCATTTGTAGAAGTCACAGCAGCACCAGAACTCTCTGTTTGAGTACCATTCCACTGCTTTTCAATCTTCTCTAGAAATTTGTGGGTTCTCAAAGTTCTATTTGGATGTGTTGAATCTGATATTGACTCAAATAGTTTCCATTGCCATTCCTCTTTCAAATTGCTAGGGATTTCTGTAACTGCCTTGGAAGGTGCAACTTCCGATGGGAGCTTGAGAACATTTTCTATTAGAGAAGCATACCCTTCAACAGTATCTGAAACCATAAGGTTTTTTGCAGTGCGTTTTCCAATTGATGAAATATTGTGAGATAGAGGTGACAGCTTCCCATTTGAGACTATTTCCAATAGTGTCTCTGTTAGAACCCTCATGTTTTCCTTCGAAAATAGATAACCATTCACCCTGTCATCAACCTAATTGTTATTGCCAATGCAGTCAGTAACTTACACGGAAAACATAAATATATAGTATTTTTTTCTGGAAAGTAACAAAATATACTACAAACGAACAAGTTGAAATGAGGTACTGCAAAATAAATTATAAACCTAAAAAGTAAAAAATCTTCATGATCATCAATGGCGTATCCATATGATAGTTCATCCAGACAGGTGCTGAATTTTAGAAAGTTAATGACTAATATATTAATCAATTCCAACAAATGAGAACCCTTGGGCGAAACATATAAAAGTAACCTGACAGGACTTGGGTAAAATATCTAAATACAACCCGATGGGACACTCTTGGCTATATGATTTCAAAGGTTGAATCAAAGTAGCATTACTTAATTTGCAGTCTTAATTCTAACATAAACATATCCAGCACCAAGAATTAGCAAACAAAAAATTTGTGATGCGAAATTTCACACTACGAACTTCTATTAACTCTTAACAAAAATCTATATTGACTGATTGACATATATATATATATATATAAAGAGAAAGCAGTGCATACATATTTCCTGATAATGGAGAGATCCGGGGCTATGATTGGCTTCCCAAAGCACATAGCTTTTATCAAAATGTTTGGAAAAGATTGCTCTTCGAGGAAGGATCCATATATCACAAGATCAGCCATGTTTAGAACACTGTCTGCATCTTCATCAACAGCAATATGCCTCACACTGTTCCTTGGGTATCTTAGATTAAGAGCAATGGCCTACAGGAAAAAGGTAAATATTAAAAAAGTGAACCAAGAAGAAGGTAGAACAATCAAGTCCAAAAAGGATTTGAACCAAAGACACACAAGGATATTAGACAAAGCTTTACCTCCACAGCCACACTATAATTGCCAGTTGAATCCCCACTTAAAATAATTATTTTAAGATGAGAATTCGAATTGTTATCAGATGGGAAGTCTGCATAAAGTGGTAATAAAGCCTTCAAAACAAAGGCATGCTCTAGCCACAAGCCTCTGTACAAAAATTGACTTCCCACAATCACGATAACAAAGTCATCATGCCCATAATCCATCTTGACATGTAGATCATCTTTGGATGAAACAAGAAAGTTGTCTGCTTCCCATGCTTCAGCTGGAGAACCCGGAATAACAAAGTAGTTTCCGGAATCCCATGCAGAGTAAAACATCTGACAAAAGCATAGATGGAGAGTCAATAAACGGACTTTAAAACCAATTTATGCATCTATAAAGCATGACTACTAAGTGAACTAGTAGTATTATGAACATGATTAGGAGCTGAAACAAGCTCATGCTATATATAACTAGTATATTTCCTTGATTAAAAAACAGACATGATCATACAGTTATCAACAATTTTCATATGACTCTTTATTTTTTTGTGAATTGTTTGCCATAATATTCATTGGAACAGTATTCAATTTAAAAAACAATGTCAATTCTTAAGGAATTTTAAATGCACTCGATTTTTTTTCTAGTTGCTATTTAAGGTTTGGCAATTGCTTTTTTACTTACTTTTGCTTTTTTAGAATCTAAAAAAACCGACGTCTTTGGTAATTGCTAAAAAGGTGTTTTTTAGCCGAAAACAAAGAGGCTTTTGCTTTTTGGCTTATTTAGCCGAAGCCAAATGGGGTATGCATTAGTAGTCATGTTTCCATTGCCTTTCTATGGACACCATCTCTTGACAAAACACGAACAAAATGACAAGGGACTAGTTTAATGAGTATTACCGGTAGGGCATGGTTTGGGAAGACCACAACAGTGGCACGGTTGATGAATCTTTTCCAATCATTTACAAGCTCAAACTGGCCACTTGACATGTATTGTCTCAAACGATTAGCGAGTGTTCTTTCATGGATGGTCCATATAAGAGGTACTGACTTGAAAGGTTCCTGCAGAAGACTGTGACAAGTAAAATCATTCATTTTAATCTAAAAAAGATACTGCCAAACCACTATCAGGTTGCACATTGAAAAAACTTATTCAAAGAAGGCAGTGAAAATTTCAACCAATAAATTACATGACCATCAAGTTCAGGGATGTTTAGTTTAGAAGATCTGTCTGTGATTTAATCTGTAGTGAATAAAAATATAGGCAGAGGGAAGAAAAATTTGAGTGAAAGATACACATTAGGAAGTTTGTATGGTCATAAAATAACATGATAGAACTTACTAGGAAAAGACTTCCCTGGCTTCAATTGAGTTCACAATTATGCCATCATAGCTGCAAAAGTATACACCATAATGAGAACGAAGATAATTGATTGATTCTAAAAAGCTAAATCATTCTTATTTATTTTAAATGTTATAGGACTGCTATGAGACCCACTCTGATGTATGGTACTGAATTTTGGCTTAAGAAAGAGAGAAAAAAATGTTCAAAAACTTAGTGTAACTGAAATGAGAATGTTGAGAGAGTGTTAGAAAAGAAGAAGAAAATCATATATGATCCATTAGGAAGAAGTTATCAGTGACACCAACCAAGTAAAGATAAGATGAGGCAAATTCAAATAAGATGTTATACTCATGTGATTTATCAAAAAAAAAAAAAGATGTTATACTCATGTGCACCCATAGGCTTAGGAGAACTTGGGTTGAGATGATCAAAAAAATAATTATCTTAAACTTAACTGAGAATATGACTGCAAATAGAATCAACTGGAAGAAATAGATCCATATAATCAACCCAAGTAATTGGGACAAAGGCTTGTTGAGTAGATTATATATGAGAAAATAAGCATGATAGGCATACTTTAGCCAATCTACGAGGACATCCTTCTTGTCACTGATTTTGATGATAGTGACTGGAACTCCTATATTTTTCCAAACAGCAAGCACGGGACCATCTTCAAGCGAGTAAACCTGCAATTAAATTACAACACATGATGCTAAGACTTATGAAATATTAGAATCAAGGCAAGTACTCCAAATTAAAAAAATTTCACTAAATATTAAGGGAAAAAATCAGTACATTTTTTCTTTTTTTTTTTTTTTTTTTTTGTATTTAGTGAATTTTTTTAGATTTCTTCACAAATATTTACTTTTTAAGTGCATCTAGATTTAGGCATCTAAAAATTTTTGAATAAAATATGAAAAAAAAAATCACTAAAGACCAGAAAAACACGAAAAACAAAAAATCTCAAAAAATGTGTTCTAAACTAAACCAAACAAAGTGAATAGTACAAGGGTGTAAATGCAAAGATTTGAGAGAGAGGAGTTGGGACCATTGGGAAGTATGGGGCAGGGCAAGAGAAGACATGAAATTTCCATAACAGATGGAGAGGAAAAGCATGATGCATTTCTACCATATAATATACATAGAGAATACATGAGAATCAAACTAAGGCATATGGTATTTGAATTTAAATGGGCAAGTTATGAGAGGTCATTATTGGCAGTTACATAGGGACCTACATTGGTTTGAACTTGACAATGAGGTGCCTTAAAATGTTTTGGATATCCTTATAAGGTGGTTTCCATGAGCAATTCGCATATCTAATGTGGGTATTAGTCTATCAAAGCATGGACAGTCATCGACAGTTGTTACCTTAAAAGAAGACAAAAAATGAGAAAAATTCACTAATGGCTTTTGTCTTCCATGGTGTAAATTTTTTTTATTCTTTTCACTGTCTTCTATTGAAATGAAGGTACAATAATTGGACTAGACAAAAGGAAGATAGAGAACTCAGTCACTCCTCAGCCACTCCCAGAACTGCATTGCATAGCACAGTTACAAATATGAGTTTATTATTCCAAGAAATATTCAGTGCTCTCTACCTTCCTCTAATTGCACTAATTTGAAGTTTTCCCCTAACAAGGAACAACAGAAAAGGCCCTGTTTGGCAACCCTTTTGTTTTTTGCTTTTCTTCACAAAATATTTGAAAATTGGAAATAAAAATATATTTGGTAACTGTTTCCGTTTCCAAAAAAAAAGGTAAAAGTTTTCAAATTTTGAGGATTAAAATAAAAAATAAAAAGAATGTTACCACTTGTTCTCAAAACAAGTTTTCATTCCCTCCCCCATCCCTCTAGTCCACCACATCAGGCAACCCCCTTCGACAACTTACCAAACATGTTTTTGCATTTCTGTTTATATATATTTTGAAAACATATGTGAGTACCAAATATGTTATCTGCTTCTTGATTTTTGATTTTATGATTTTTTGCAAAAAAATAAAAATAAAAATAAGAAAAATTAAACAATATGTTTTACAGGAAACTGGCAAAGTTACCAAACACTAAACATATGTTCGCAATGAAAACCCCTAATCAACAAGTTAGTTTGCATGTTCATATTGAAAACTCATTCCCTCTGGAAACATACATGGTATGAATTATGACATTTGAGCTGACAAGCTACATTAGTCTCCATTTCAATAATCTGCTAGTTGTACGTCAAGTCTCACATAAAAGCCATGCTCAATAAGGTAGATAAATTTCCAGAAGACAGCAAAATATTACACCAATGAAACAAAAAAATGGCACAAGTTGGTTCGACTTAAATCAATCCAAATTGCCACCTAAAAACCGAAAATTTAAAAACAAAAATGGGATTCAGTGATCAAAAAATTACCTCAATTTCATACCCAATTTCCCTCAAAGCAATAGCAACAGTAACCGTTAGTATCTGTTGTGGATCAAATAACAGATCTGCAAAAACCTACAAGTAGGAATCAAAACAATGTAAATTATAAACCCCAACATAAACACTGCCCCAATAAGCTACTCACCAAGAACAACCTAATTCCAAATCAAACACATCACATTATCACATTCAAACTAACCAAATCAACACATCACTATCAAACCAAATCAACACATCACTATCAAACCAATTCCAATCAGAACTGAAAACAACACGAACATAAAAAATTGACATGAAATATCACTACTACTCAGTACTCACCAAAGCAAGCTGGGGTTTTCTATACCCAAAGCTCAATCCTCTCCTTGAAACAGAAGACATATTGACCTCTTTAGACTCTTTTTGAAATTTAGCCAAAAGCTTTGATGGCTCAAACTTAATATCTTCCCCAAAATCTAACCCACCAATCTCTTTCCACAACATCAAATCTCCAGACACTACCTCTGAATTCTCCGATTTTTCCATCACTGAACCAGGCAAGAACATCTGGAAAAGAACCACAAAGAAGAAGAAGACACCCACAGTGCAAATCCATTGTAGATAATCAATCTTCTTGAACAATACAAATCTTGCAAGTCTCGATCTGGGTCTTTGACCAAATGGGTTTCTCTCATTCTAATTCCTGCTCGTTGAACGAGGTAGATTTTGATCTCTCTTGAATGAAAGTCCACTTTCAAGAGAACCCATTTTAGAGACCCATCAAAATATACACACTCGTACAAGACACAATATAGAAATACAGGAATGGAAATTGAGAATGAGAGCGGAGAGATAGTGTGAACAATTGGTTTTTCCGTATTTAGTAATCAAGACAGTGTTTAAAGAGACGCTTTTTCGTTTGGTGCCATTAAAGAATTCAAGAAGATGCCTGTGATAGTGTGAATAAAAAGAGACAGCTATATAGAGAGAGAAAGCAGAGAAAGAGAGAGAGAGAACAAAGGAGATGAGGTGACTATTTAGAAAGATAGATTCATGTGTGTTTTTGCATAAAATTGAGAGAATATTATGAGAAAGTTTAGAGAGAACAAAAAAAAGTGAGATTTTGAGAAGTTGATAAGCTAATGTGTGTATATCCCCCCTGCTTTGTAGAAGGGTTTTTGTCTGTGAAGGAAGGTTGTTGACCTTTGCTGTTTTGGTAATCATTGATATTGACTGAAATGCCCTTAGAAGTTTGATTAGAATAGTTTGTAGGGGTAAATGAACTTAATTATTCGAATTTGACTATAGCTTGTTAAAATTAAGATTGACCTATTCTATAAATACGTTAAATTTGTTAAGATAATTTTTTTTTTTTTTCATGAAATTCTATGAAAAGAGAAATATTGGATGAGAGAAGTTTCTAAAAAAAATTTGATGAGAGGGTTATTAGCCAACAAGGTAATTATAGATTAAAGAAAAAAAATAAAATCATCAAAAATTTTGAATTACAAGTTTTTAAAATATCTTTCCTAATATTTTTCCATTTCTTAAATCTCATTTCATGACAAAGTAATTATACATTAAAAAAATATTATATATTAAAAAAAAAACACACACACACACAAACAAATTATATATTTTAAAACAAAACGTTATAGATTAAAAAGAACTTAAAACCACAATTACTAATTTTTTTAATTTTAAAAAATTCTCATAAAAAATAATTATATATTCAAAAAAAATGTTATAGAATAAAATGAACGTAAAACCACAATTACTAATTTTTGTAGTTTTAAAAATATTTTAAAATAGTACTATTAGCTAACAAAGTAACTATATATTTAAAAAAGAAAAGAAAAGAAAAGAAAAGCATAACAACCTAAAATTGCTAATTTTTGTAATTTTTAAAATATTTAAAAATAATACTATTGGCTAACAAAGTAACTATAGATTTTATTTTTATTTTTTTAAATTTGAATTACACGTTTTTAAAATCTCTTTCCTAATATTTATCTATTTCCTAAATATAATCTATGTATCTATACTATATATTATATTAAAGTGACTTTTCATCTTAGAGGCTCTAAGTGTTTCAAAACCTTAATTTAATTTTTTTTAATTTTTAATTTTTTATAAAAAAAATTAAAACACTTATTAATTATTCTAAGAACATAAATATTAACCTTCAAAATTATTTAATGCAAATATAAATTGTTGATCTTGTAGCAGTTCAATGAAAATAGCATAGATATTAATTTCGCGCAATGCAAATTCGTGTCGGTCAATACCCAAAAAAAAAAAACAAAAAAAAAAGAAAAAAACACACAATTCTCAATCCTCCTCTTCCTCTCAAAATGAGTCTTTATTTTAAGAAAATATAAATCTCATACAATATTCTCTTTTAAAATAAATTTAATAAAAAGGAAATTCTCTTACCTCTTATAAAATGTATATTATTAATATCTTTTACAACTGATTTGATCTATATAAACCTAAAATTAAGCCAACACATAAAATAAAATTTAAACCTTATATCTAGATTCTCTCTCTATTCTATAATTAAACACAATTGGACTTTTCTCATGTGTGCCTTGCATATGGTATGCAAGGCACTTACACCCTTCCATTTTGCATTTACACATTTATATGTATTGGGTTATATCAAAATATTTGGAAACTTACACATTGGTGACCTGCTAAGCAGGTCACTTTCTAGGTAAATTAATAAAATAATATATTATATGACTAAAGGTGTAAATGGTCACAAGAAAAGTATAAGTTTTCAAGAAAGGCGTAAGGAATTTGAAAACATCTTTGAAATCTTTTAAGTATTTCAAAACCTTAATTTAATTTTTTTTAATTTTTAATTTTTATAAAAAAAATTAAAACACTTATTAATTATTCTAAGAACATAAATATTAACCTTCAAAATTATTTAATGCAAATATAAATTGTTGATCTTGTAGCAGTTCATTGAAAATAGCATAGATATTAATTTCACGCAACGCAAATTCGTGTCGGTCAATACCCAAAAAAGAAAAAAGCACTCAATTCTCAATCCTCCTCTTCCTCTCAAAATGAGTCTTTATTTTAAGAAAATATAAATCTCATACAATATTCTCTTTTAAAATAAATTTAATAAAAAGGAAATTCTCTTACCTCTTATAAAATGTATATTATTAATATCTTTTACAACTGATTTGATCTATATAAACCTAAAATTAAGCCAAACATAAAATAAAATTTAAACCTTATATCTAGATTCTCTCTCTATTCTATAATTAAACACAATTTTATTTCGAAATAAATTTAAGCATATCTGTACAATATATATATTTTTAAAATCTCATAATTTATTATTTTTTATAATGGTTCCATGATTTATAATTTAGAAAATGAAATATGTAAAAAATTATTCGTATGCACTCTTTATCTAACCAATTCTTTCTCTTACCCAAAAACTCTAGCCATCATGCATTATACTTTTTCCAAATCATTTTTGTCTTTCTCGTCATATAAATATTACATTCATAAAATGATGAAACTAATTGTTTTTTAACTTTCTTTATGAGACAATTTGGAGGTTATTTCATGTTTAGTCTATTGTATTTTTTAAACAAACTCTTTCATCCGTTAAGTACACCATTTTTTCTTCTTCTTTTTTATCTACGACCATTTTTTGTTTTTGTATTTCATATTTTGTGTGTCATTTCTCCCTCCTCTTTACCAACCATTATCTATTTTTTTATTTATAACTATTTTTTATTGGTTAATGTTGTTTTACTAGAATTTTTATATTGAAATGGCGTGATAGGGTTATTTGTATAATAAAAAACATGTCACTCATTATAAAGTGATAGATCAAAATCCAAACAAAATCATTATTAATAAGTTTTTTGTATTAATTTTACATTTGTATGTCATTAATTTTTTTTTTTTTTTAAAAAATACTTTTAATATTTTTTGATATCATGATATGGGTTAATTAATAGTTGGTGCAAAACATTACTTCAAAAGCACATAATAGCTTTTCAAAGCTATAAAATGAAAATATTGTTTTTAATTTATTTTTTCAAAACTATTAAACGTGTTAGTCAATTATTTAATTATTTATCTTTAATATGTGCAGTTTCTCTCTTCCTTTATGGTACTTCTCTGTCTATTCCATTGTGAGTTCATATGTTTTTAGAAGAAAAAAAATCATATATAATTTAAAATTTTTGATTTTATATTTGTATGTCATTACTTTTTTTTATAAAAAAAAATTACTTTTAATATTTTTTGATATCATGATATGGTTAATTAACAGTTGGTGCAAAACATTACTTCAAAAACATATAATAGCTTTTCAAAACTATAAAAAGAAAATATTATTTCTAATTTATTTTTTCAAAACTATTAAACGTGTTAGTCAATTATTTAATTATTTATCTTTAATATGTGCAGCTCCTCTCTTTCTTTATGGTACTTCTCTGTCTATTCCATTGTGAGTTCATATGTTTTTAGAAAAAAAATCATATATAATTTAAATTTTGAATCTTTTTATATAGGAAGTAAAAAATAAATTTTAGAATTTAAAATATAACCATAAACCATGTCCTTTTAAATATAGCTATATTTATAATTAATTTTAATCTATCTATTACCTATCCTTATTTACATTATTATATAAATAAAAATGTTGTACGATAATTGAAGTTAAAGGTCCTAATCTATTTTTTTTTTCAAAATTTAAAATTGTTAAAATGCATGTGTTGTAATATCATTAATTTCTTCCTATTATAAATTTTATTTTAAATCTTATAAGATTTGTTCATAGACTAATATTCAATTTTTGTAAGAAAATATATTCTTTCCAAAAATTAATATAGCAGGTCTACAAAATCATATTTTAAAACTCAAAATTATTAATTTTTAATTTATTTTTATTTTTATTTTTGTTTTAAATTAACATGTTAAAGTATAAATAGATATCCAAATAAAATTATGGGTGAATTACACTAATGGTCCCTATAGTTTGGAACTTATGTCATTTTGGTCCTTGACTTTTTAATTATGACACGTTTGACCCTAAATTTTGAATCTTGTTCCAAATAAAGACAATAGAAGATACTATTGGATTTTTCAAGAGCAAAATCATCAATTTGATAAAATATAAATTAATTTGACAAAAATAAATGTCAAAAACATATTTTTGAATTTTAAAAAATTAGGGCAAATTACAAACACCCCATCGAGGTTTGGTGAAAATTCAGATTCCCTCTGAGGTTTGAGAAATTACAAATGGCCCCCTGTAGGTCAAATTTTCATAACAAATTAGGGGAAATTAGGGGGGAATCTGTATGAAAATAAAAACTTCAGAGGGCAATTTGTTATGGAAATATAAACCTCAGGGGGTGTGATGTAATTTCTCAAACCTTAGGGGAGAATTTGTATTTTCACCAAACCTCGAGGGAGGTGCTTGTAATTTGCCCTAAAAATTACTTCTACTTACTAAAGATAAAATTATATAAAATTGAAAAATCTTTTAGACATTTATTTATTTTTTTTACCAAATTATTTTTTATTATGTATTTGGATGATGATCGTGTAAAATTAATTTTTAAAAATTAATCATGTAATTTTTATTAATTTTTATCAATTTTATATAATTTTATTTTTGGTGAGTAGAAATAATTTTTAAAAATTTTAAAATATTTTTTTGACATTTATTTTTGTCAAATTAATTTATATTTTATCAAATTGACGATTTTGCCCTTGAAATTAAGTAAGGGTATGTTCAATTGTCCTTATTTCGAACAAGATTCAAAATTGAGGGTCAAATGTGTTATAATTGAAAAGTCAGGGATAAAAGTGACACTACCCTAAACTATAGGAACTGTTAGTGTAATTTGCCCTAAAATTATACTTGTTAATAAATATGGCATTAGTTTTTAGTGTAATCACATCTTTTTAAAGTTCTAATTCATTTTTTAACTATTTTTTTTTATGTTTTAAATTACATGTTACGATAATTCTTTTTTTACTCATTAAGTTTTTAAAATTTATTTAATTATTTCCTTTTCAAAAACCAATATGACAATTTTTTAAAATTCATTTATTTTTATTCTAAAATAGTGACGTATTAAAACTATGTCATTTTTTTATAACAAAACATAATTTTAATCATTAATTGTCAACACATCAATTTTAATTTATTTGTACTATATATTATAGTGAAGGAACATTTGAAATAAAACTCTTAAACTTATATATAAAATTTTATTTACGACAGATAAAATACAAAAAAAAAATTATATATAATTATCATATTTTTAATAAATAAGCCAAAAACAGCACTTTTGGCGACTAAAGTCGGGTTTAGTCGGCAAAACCCCTCCTTTTAGCTACTAATTTTTTTTAGTAGCAAAAAATCTGCACTTTTGGCGACTAAACTGAATTTTAGTCGCCAAAACCCTTACTTTTGGCTACGAAATTGATTTTAGTCGCCAATAACTATGCATTTGGCTACTAAATTGTCTTAGTCGCCAAAAGTGAACACTTTTGGCGACTAATTGCATTTTAGTCGCCGATTGTCCTACTTTCAGCGACGAAAATTCATTTTTTAGTCGCCAAAGCTGGATTTTCTTGTAGTGTATATAAGTAACTTTCACATTATACAAATTAAGGGCATTTTGCGCTATTTTATTGTTAGGAAATGTATTTTTAATTAGTCATTTGTGTTCCTAACAAGTGTTTCATATTAGATGTTAAATTGGATGAAATATTTCGCAATGTAGTATAATTTACAAACCATAAAAAATTATGAGCTTATTTTTAAAAGTCAAGAGGGAAAATAAAGTTTGTTCTAATATATATATACACATATGATAGGAAGATGTTTGATAAAATTGAAAATTAAGTATTGAATTGATTGTTGAATTGTTTAATTTAAAAATTGTTTGGCATGTATTAAAATTTAAACATTAGTTTTAATTATGTTGTTTGATAAAATGGAATTGGCAATGACAATAATGGTGGTGGCAACATAATGATAGTAATGAGCGAACGGCAATGATGGTGGTAATAAAATGTTGGTAACGACAATAACATAGTGCCTTCGCAGTATATTGGCGTTGCTTTTTCGTAATTAGCCAAAAAGTCATCCCAAACATACAAGTTTTTTTTACTTACCTTTTTAGCCAAATAGCCAAAAAGTTACTAAATTAACATGTTCCCAAACGAGGCCTAAATAACGTTAACCAAGACGTACGATGCAAAAAATAAAGCTTTGGCACAGTTTTAATATAAATCTATAATTATTAAACATTTATTTCTTTACTCTTCATTGCTTGACACTAATCATTCCTTGATTGTACCTATCTTCAATTACATCACTGCATCAAACTAGTATTTTTTAATTATAAATTATCTTTCAAAACTTTGTATATTACAAAAATGTCTAGTAGTTCAAATTTGTATGGTTTAAATATATCAAAACGATGTCGTTTTATTCTTAAAACGATGTCGTTTTAAGACATTCAAGCTACTCGGGATATGAAAATTTGGGTTACCAAGTATGGTTATGTATATTATACTTTAGAAATCCTATCCCAAATTATTATTATTATTAAATGATTTTGAGCTAGCTTGGGTTAATGTCTGCATCCTTTGGTTTGATTTATTGGTTTCCTTGCTATCATTCGGTGTCATATTCATCTATTGACATTCTTCTTCTTTTTTAAATAATAATAATTGATTTAATAAAAAACAACAAAAGGCCTTTATGCGACAAAAATGTTAGGACATTTTCTTTATCTCACGAGTTTTACTATGCACCGACACTGTCATCTCATCCCTCCTAATATATAACACAGGCGTCGAAATATCACGTGGAATTTGGATGACCTTTACTTAAATATCATTGTAATTTAAATTCGAACACCAAGGCGTTTGTAGTCCAACGGTTAGGATAATTGCCTTCCAAGCAATAGACCCGGGTTCGACTCCCGGCAAACGCATTCTCTTTTAGCTTGCTTTTTCAAAATAATTATAATAGTTTTTAGTAAAATTACATTAAACTTTTTAAGATTTGAAACAAATATATTGAATTTCATAAACTTGACACATAATTATACTAAACTTTCTTAAAATTTTAATCTATGTAATACTATGTCTCATTTTATTGCTAATGCATTAATCATATAAATGTATAAATAATACTCAATTCATACTTTTTTTTTTTCTTTTCTTTTTTAATTTCATCTCTCAATCAAATTATCCTTTTGGGCAAAACTTTAAAATCAATTTTTGATCACACAATACCAACAACCGCCATCAACGCCAAACACCCATCTTTTGAGCAAAACTTTAAAATCAATTTTTAGTCACACAACACCAACGACCGCCATCAATGCCAAACACCCAACTCTACAACCAATTTTTCTCGCTTTTTACCCCTAACCCTATGGGGATGGGGCGGTAGGAGAAAAGTGAGGGAGGGGGTGACTACGATAAGAGTGTGGGAGAGGAGTTGGGTGGTTCAACAGAAGCCGCAAGTGGCTGACTGATGTTGGTTAGTAAAGTTAGGGTTTGAAGGTCGAAGTATTTTGACATGGTGAATTATGTATTGAACAAAATATAAAAATAAGCAAGTGTGTATTGGGAAAAAATATAGTCGGACTTTTTAATGAGGGGAAATAAAGCTCTCCATAACTACGTCTCTGAAAACATTATGCCAGCCAGAGTGCCTAATAAATTACTCTCGAATTATGAACCCTCAAGTCTTTATATACAATATGAAACACTCCTAGCCAAGATAAAACGAACACTTGAACAAAAACTTGACAGACTCTCATAAGTTCCCACCATATCAAGCAAATTCTTGACCTGCTTTGATTTTCCAAAGAAAACAGTAAGTAAATTTCCAGATCTGAAATCCCAGATAAGTAGGACAAGAAACAGAAATTAGAGTTAACCATCAAAGCTTGATCAATATAAACCATCTTCACAACAGGACTGCTAGTTAGTTAACCATACATACATACAAGACAGAATACAACATAACACTGATCCGAACCAAGACGATGATGCACTTCTTGTTATCGATCACCAAACGAAAGGTTTGGAGATATATGAGCAATTAATGGATGAATCAAGTGATCACCAACAAGCATAGGCTGTTACACCCACACAATGTGGGTGGTTTGCTGAATGGTATAGTCGATTTGCTTCATTGAGTGAGGATTCATGAGATGGTCTTCAGTTTTGTCTTCTTCTGTTTTACGAAGAAAGATGACAGCAGACTCTTGCTGCGGACAGGTGCGCGAATAATCTGAAGCCGGTTTGGGTTGTCAAATGACTTGAAAGCTGTCAAAGGTTTCGAGCCCTCCTGCAAAGTACAATCACTCTCATAAGAACTTTTTGGCATTTCTCTCAACCACAGGGCAAGATATTTTACAACATGAGCAAGCATAAGGTATGGAGCTTCTCTCCTACCACCCATGAGTGGTCCAGCAAAAACATCTCCATGCCAAAAGATGTTTAAGTCATCAGATCATCTAATCAAATTCATATTTGAATACATACAGTAAAACCAAGTCTCGTATCCCAATCAATGGAAGAAACTACGCATGAATTATTTTTTTCCGTTGGCACAGTTAATGAGTTGTGTCTAATTGTTGTTTCCATAAAAATTTTCTTTTTAATTTTGTTGATATCTATCAACCACATAATATGTTAGAAGCACTACTCTGCTTGAGTCAACTTACTTCGATTGTTCACATAATCTCCAATTACTAAAATTACATTTAATATATTCAGTTTTATTCCTACTTATTTTAAACTCTTTTGGACTTTATTGCTCTCCAAGTTTGTAATTTGGTTTTTTAGTTTCATCTACTAACTACTAAGGACAATATCATCTGCATAGACCATGGGACATAAATTCTGCTGCAGAGTCAGAATATTGAACAAATCATGATTTACGCCATCCCGGTTGACCCAAAATCTGCAACTTTTTCCATGACTAAAATAAGAAATAATTCTAAGTATTAAAAACTGATGGGGTTTCCAATCCCATTTCAGAAACAAAAACAAGAGAAGAAAAAGGTAAAAATAATAAACAGACATCTCATACCTCTGCACAACCAAATAAAATTATTTCTAGTTATTCTTTGCAAAATACACACATCAAGATTCATTGCTAATGTTCATAACTATGTTCCAAAGACAAACATCCAACTCAAGTCTCCATGGCTTTAACCATTGTGGTTACCACAAAATGCAGATAACAGTCACCCCATCATCTATCTGTAATCAATAATGAGGGCAACTGAAAAGTACAAGGTCTGGGCAGATTTGATTATGTGATTGTAGATTAACAACTAGTGACGACATTATCTAATCCCCGGACACGTCAAATATATAGAACAGATTTAATTGCAGATAGCATGAAATATATGTAGTACCAAGGCAAAGTAAACAAATAAATAATAAATAAATTCCAACCAAATGGATATTATGAAGATCAGCAAGCATGTTAGGAAAAGCTTTAGGTTGTGTTTGGATCATGGATTTGGGTAGGGATTTAGAAAGGGAAAGGGAAAATGTGGGTGACATAAGAGAACATCATGTCAATAATGTGTTCATCCATTTACTCATATAATCAAGCATTCACTTAGAAGAACGTTGGGCATGTTTGAGTTCTTCTTGATTTTGAAATTACCCTCCGCGCAGCACTGAATGGTTGCATAGCTGCACTTGAAGCATGCCCTCTGCCAGACAACTGGAGATGAGTTGCTGAGGATTTCATTCGGGTACTCTCTTCAGCATCTACAAATACAAAATTGGAAGCATGGGGTTATCATTTTGCATGGGAGAGGCGCCATCCAACAATAGCATAACTGCAAGCAAAACCTATGCATACCCACTAAGTGGAAGACCCCGGAAGTTTTTTCAGAAGTTTTTGGATTGTCACTGCTGCAAGATAAATACTATCATAAACTTTCATGCTCTCTTGCAAATATTAGCAAAAGTTCCATAAGAAATGGGAATGAAAAGATAAACTCTCAACTTTTGGCATTATGTACTGAAGTTCATGGACTAACCTCGTCAAAGCATGTGGGGCTGCTTTTAAGGTAGACTTAGTTTCTGATGCTAAATGCCAAGACAGAGTTTTTGAAGCTGGGATGCCTATAGTCAGGATAATTGATAACATACAAATTAAATGCCAAGTCACAAGAAGAGTCCTACACTGATACAAGTAGTGACAGGAAGCAAGCATTCATTGTTCATCAAATCAGGTACCTGAAGGGTAATGATGAGGTCTTGTCTGAATATGACTTTGCCAAGCATCTGTTTGTATGTGCGGGCTAAAATGTACCTTCTTGCTAACAGAATCTAGCATGGTGTTAAACCAAAGAAATGGTTAAGAGGGAAACTGACAACATGTCAAGGGTCTCATCCTACAGATATAACGCTTGTAGAACAAATATACATTTATTAATCTTACTTGGCAAAATGTAATGCTTGTGATGCCTTGGGATGAATGCTAACAACTGCTGCTGCCTGAGACCTTCTTTATCCGTGTATGTTTGACATGTTAGTAGTTGCTTCATCAAAAAACTAAGTTCAGCTCCTATCCAGATAACAGATAACAGATAACAGATAACATTCTTACTAAAACTTCTTTTTCAGCTTTTTCAGGGAAATTACAAATATTTTACCTGATTCAGACATGAGACCTTAAGTGCCATGGCTGAGACATCTGAGGTTTGTTGCTCAACAAGATCAGTTAATTTGGAAGCCACAGTTCCAAGGTGGTCAACAGCATTCACAAGGGCTCGTACAGCATAATCTTTTAGGTTGTCAAGGACCCTAAAAACTGCCGAATTAAATTTCTAGTAAAAGCAGAAGTGTGCCTAATAAATGGCACGCACACTGTTAATAAATACCTTTAAACTCAATAGATACAAGCAATGATCATTGTTGTGGTTTTCATAGTTTACTACTGTAATAGTGACCATCATTTGTCTGTAATTGCCATCATCAACATCATTCAATATCTAACAACTCCACATGACCAAATTTTGAGAACGATATTGCTTAACCACAGGTCATGACACCATAGATGAACTTGAGTACGTTGAAATTAAGCATAGTTGTCAAAAGGTCTAGAATTGCCTGGTTGATAAACCTGCTTAGATGCACTAGTGAAACAGGGGCTATCAAACAAAGGTTTACTACCACCTTCCATGTGCCACATGTTGAATTATAGTGCAGAAGAAACTATTATAAAACACAAGATTCAAGGTGAAAGATATTCAGCATATGCATTAACAGCCTTTAACAAATATTTGACTGTGATTCCCTAAATCAGTTTTTGTTTAAAAGAATCAAATGGAATTATATGCCTAGATGTTGCCATTTTAACTGCCACGGGAATTGATCCTGAAGGTAAGAGCCATGTATTGTATAATCTGAACACCCATTTGGCAAAATGATAAGCACAATAAGTACAGTGCTCAAAAAAGGTATGAGCACTGATCTTATATATATTTTTTCTTTATTTCTGACTACATTTAAATTGAACTGTGAGAACAATTGACAAACAATTCAGTATATTCTTATAGGTTAGTAAAGCACTCAGTTAAAAACCTACTATAGAAAATGTCAGTTAAGTCTCACATAAATTCTGACAAATAAATACCCACCTAGGGCTCTCCTATAACAAACTAATCAAAAAAGACTTAAATTCGTTTCACTAAGTTTTCAAATAAAGTCAAAGTTACAGTGATCTTACCTCTCTTTCTGTTCACTACAAAGATAAGACTTCTCACAGTATTCTGCAGCAGAATAAAGTTGAGGCCTTAAATTCTTGAGTTCCTGAAATAGTCATGACATAAGGATCAAACTGACATTAAGTCATTAACACAACAATTTGCAGTCAAACATGGAGCAGTACTGATCGACAAATTATTTGGAAGAAACTACTGCACAAAATATACGACAAGAATGAGCACAGAACAGCTATCAAGCATAAGAATAGATCACTGCAACTTTCGAAAATCGCTGATGAAATAAAAAAGTTTCAGCTATGTCAGTTATCTGAATCTGCAAATGTAAAGGAATTAACAAGTTTGTACAATTTTTTAAACTTAAAGGATCCCTGGACAAGTACCTTGATTAAACAGCATAACATAGCAAACGAAATTTATTAAAAGGCCTAGAATAAAAGGCCTAGAATAAGAGAGAAGTGATAATTATACATAAAGTATTAAAATATTGTATACCTATGAACTTTACAAAATTGTAACTTCAAACATTAGCTTGTTGTAACATCTACCCATTAGAATCATTCAAAGACTCTTGTCATTGACACAAAAAAACAAAATAGTTTGAAACTCAATTGTCAATTCTTAATTTATTAAAGATTGAAAAGGAAAAAAAATGCAAAAACTTAACACTAAAAGGGTAACCAGTGCACCGCAAAGAGCACGATGTATCGACTAATTGAAGAAAATGAATATCAACCACATGACTTTCCACTTATAAGGTCACCCACCACTTAAACAGAAGCAAGTAGAACCATCCGTAGTTGTTTTCAGCAAACCAAACAGAGAAAGAAAGTTTTTTTTTTTTTTTTTGGAATTTTCCAAAAAAGGAAAAAATTGTCACAAATTGTCACAGACTGGAAAAAAAAAAATTAAAATTGATATAAATTTTAAAAAAATATTGGAAAAGGAGATGGCTTATTTGGGAGTTATCACAAAACCTTCATTCAACAACACCTTGTACAACAATCTCAAAAATCAATTTTCCACTTCAGCAACCAAACAGAAAGTAAAAAAATAAAAAGTCTAACCATATATCAAATAAAACATCCATTATGCATATGTATAAGCAAAGCCGATCTGAAAGAGGAATTGAAAGAATCGAACCTGCAAGGCTTTGACGAAGTTCTTGCTGCGTTCCATGGAGACCTCATCGAAAGTCATCGATGGCCGATCGTACGGAAGTGACTGCTCCAATTCCATATCTCTCTCTTACACACACACACACACACACTCACACTCACTGAGGCTTCGAGTGATAAATGTGAAACGAAATTTATGGTTCAGTTATAGATTTGGATTTGAAGTTAGGTTTTGGTGGGAGAGCTAAGCACAGACGAGAGAGAAAGAGAGAGAGAGATGTGTGTTTGTAGCAGAAGCAATCCAGGGGTTGATAAACCTGCTTAGATGCACTAGTGAAACAGGGGCTATCAAACAAAGGTTTACTACCACCTTCCATGTGCCACATGTTGAATTATAGTGCAGAAGAAACTATTATAAAACACAAGATTCAAGGTGAAAGATATTCAGCATATGCATTAACAGCCTTTAACAAATATTTGACTGTGATTCCCTAAATCAGTTTTTGTTTAAAAGAATCAAATGGAATTATATGCCTAGATGTTGCCATTTTAACTGCCACGGGAATTGATCCTGAAGGTAAGAGCCATGTATTGTATAATCTGAACACCCATTTGGCAAAATGATAAGCACAATAAGTACAGTGCTCAAAAAAGGTATGAGCACTGATCTTATATATATTTTTTCTTTTAAATGCTGATTAGGAGATTTTGACCAAATCAATAAATGCAGACATGTGGAAAGACATGTGGATTGAAAAAAGTTAATAAATACTGATCAGAAGATTTTGACCAAATCAATAAATGCTGAGTTTTTTTTTTTAAATGCCTTTTTTTTTCTTTTTTATATTATATTAAAATTTATTATTTTGATAATAATAATATGTGTTGGACTTTTTAAAGAATTAAATGTCTTTTTTTTATTATTATATGATATTAAAGTTTAATATTTTGATAATAATCATATGTGTTGAATTTTTCAAGAAATTTTTTTTATACTTGTTATTAATACATTAAAGTGTTATTATGATGGATAATAATCATATGTGTTGGGACTTTTCAAGGAATTCATATGCGTTGGATTTCAAAGAATTTTTTTTATACTTGTTCTTAATGCATTAAAGTGTTATTATGAGGGTAAAACTTGGGATTTAGGAGAAGTTAATAAATATTAAGATTTTTTTTTTTAAATCAAAAAATCAAGAAATTTAGATTGGGAGATTGGAGCTCCCACAAGGCTTGGGGTTAAAAATTCCCTTTTGCTTAATATATAGTATAGATGTAGCAATTAGTGTATTAATACTAACAGATGATGTAGTATAATTTTAAAGGTTTTGGACATTTGTAATTTAATTAATAGGTGAAGTCAGTAATAATAGCATAACACTAATTAGTGCATATAGCACCACCGTTATATTTTTTTATTGATGAAAATAATAAAATTTATAATTTTATATTAAATAATTGAAAAAAAAATAAATAAAGAATTTGTTTTTGGACACAAACCTGATCACATAGGATAATTATTCAGTAATTTTAAAATATAAATAAATGATATTTTATAGTATTGTGATTGGTGAAAAATATAATAAGTAAAGAAATATTAAGACACCAATCACAAATTTATACAAAAAAGAATTTACACTAATTAATATAGAAAATAATATTTTGAGAATAATCACATGGTGACCAATAACTGTTCAATTTGTTTTGGGGAAGTAGATGAAGTATGGTATTAAGTGATTATATAACATATTAAATAATAATTAATTAATTAATACAGATAATAATATTATGAGAATAATCACATGGTGACCAATAACTGTTCTATTTGTTTTGGGGTGGGGGGAGTTAATGCATGCGAAAATGACGTTGTATTTATTGTGACGCTTTAATAACAAGGGAGCTAGAGGAGGGGTTAGTTGGGTTTGAAACCTTCAAGGATCATGGTGTTATGGGATGGAAAATTATATAATAAGTTTTTTATTAATTATTATTTATTAGGTTTCTTATATTCTCTAATTATTTAATATAAATAATTAAGATTTCATATTTTTTTACTAATTATAATATTATGAAATATTAGGTGATTATATTTCTGAACTATCGAATAATTACCCATTATCAGATTGGATTGGTTTAGATCTAAAATAAATTAAAATTTGAATTAACTTTTGTAAGTTTAAAAAATTAAAATGATAATCAAATCGTTAATAGTAGAAAATTTATGACTTTGTATTTGTAGAGGGTTAGAAATTATGATCCAAATTAAGGGGTTGTTTGAGATGTTCTAAATAAGTGCACTTTTTAACTTTTTATGAAATATGAGTTAGATTTGAAGTGATGTGGCAGAAAGGTGATGTGACTTAAATATGATAGTGACTTTTTAACTTTTTTAAGAGATGACAAACAAGGTCTAAGTATAGGCCTAAGTGTTGAGGTCACCCCCTTTTAGGCTACCAAGAACGTCTAAAGGAGTATGGGCTAAAACCCAAGGGAAATGGCCCAACAGTAGGTCAAAGCAGGCCCGACCCGCCAAAGGTCCGAACAGACTTCACAAAGGAAAATGCCTAAGTGAAGTTACAGAGGTAACACTTGTAACAGTCAAGTTGCTAAGGCATTTTGCCTCAGCGTTGCTATTCCCAATATTGTCGGTTCCGTTACCATCTAAAGTTGCTAAGAGAAAGAGAAAACCGAAGCAACTAAGTTGCAGAGGCAACACTTGCAACGGCCAAGTTGTGAAGGTACTCTATCTCAACGCCGCCATTCCAAGTATTGTCGGTACCGCTACCAGTTGGAATTGCTGAGGAAAAGAGAAAACCAAAGCAACTAAATTGCAGAGGGAACATTTGCAGCGACCAAGTTATAGAGGCATTTTGTCGGCGCCGCCATCTCTAATATTGTCAGTCCTGCCATCTAAACTTGCCACGAGAAATAGCCACCGTAACAATTATAGCTGCCACAACTAACTTGCAGAGGGAACACCCCGCTAAGGGGATAACAACTTTTGGGAGAAGCTTCCTCTCCACAAGTAGAAGCTAATGTTTGGCGCTAATAACAGGCCTGAAGGCATTACTAACTTAGGGCTGATAGCAGGCCCCCCAAAGTCATTTCTAGCTCGATGCTAATAACAGGCCTCAAAGCTCACTAGCTTGGCGCTAACAGCAAGCCTCGAGGCTTACTGGTTGGAGCCGATAGTAGGACCAGAGATACTAGTATACCACAGTGATCCCGCGAAGATGGGAGCAGGGCAGCCCGAACACAAGGGACTCCCTTTCCATTTACCCAGATCATGGACCTGCCTTAGCCGCATAGGCAGGATTAAGGAAGCCCCCTTGGGCTTGGTACTAAGGCACAACATGGTTGATAGCAGGCTTGGCTATGGCCTTCGCCCTGAGAAATTGGGGAGTTTGTGGTTAGGTGGCTAAGGATAGAGGTTTCGCTGAGGTGAACACAAACATGGCCAATAGCAGGTTATAAAGTCCTGGGAATACATGTACTGGCCAAATAGAATTGAGAAGGCAAGTGCAACAGTAAGGTTTACCGCTGCAAGTGTACTTGTTGAGGTTCGAGCTGAGAAGGCAAGTGCAGCAGCAAACACTCATGCGCGTAATTGCACTTGTTAAAGCTCAAAAGGTAGTTGCAGCGCCAAACACTCCAGCGTGCAACTACACTTGCTAAGGATCAAAAAGGTAGTTGCAAAGGCAAACATATAGCACACAGTACATGCAAAGGGATGCGTGACACCTTTAGCCTGGTGGCCCAAGGCAGAATATTCTATGTGATCCTTAGGGACACCTGTCTTCTCTCTATTTGGTCACTTGGTGTCCTCTTGGTACTAAGGAAAAGCCTATAAATAGGACCCATTTGTGCACTGTCATTCTCTTCTTCTTGAGCTGTTTGTTTCACCCTCACCTAGCTACTCATTCTCCAGTCATTCCACCATTGTTGGACCATTAGCATATTTTGCCTCTCTAATCACTACTTACATAGAACCCCTCCTTACATTATTTTATTGTATTTGGTCAAAATATGCTCATAATAAAAATTTAATGTATTAAGAACAAATACAGAAAAATTTTCTTAAAAAATCCAACAAAAACCGCTATTATCAAAATATTTTTAGTGATTAATAAAATATTTTTAGTGATTAATTTAATATTTTAAATTTTAAAATAATATAACTTCTAATCTAAATGTCAATTTTTAATAAAATTAATATTGTTAGAATGCTCTCATCAAGATCTATCAAATAAGATTTAGGTTGACTATGAAATTCTTTATAATAAAAAATTTATTGTCAGAATTGATATAAACAGTAACATATTATTCTATTTCACAATAACATGTTACTTTTTTTTACAATAAAATATTACTCTGGTTGAGAGTAACATTTTACTATTTGTTCTAAACAAGACATCAACAATAAAAATAGAATACGACCCTCCCCGCACTCAATTGCAGCGAAAATGTATTGTGGGTGTTTGGTAAGTGGGGTTTTTTGTAGGTTTTTTTAGTTGTAGGATATTATTGGAGAAATTTTTTTTTGTGTTTGGGAAGATAGTTGAGTTTTTTTGTGGTTGGATATGATTTTGTGAGAGAAAAAGTGAAATGATTTGGGGTTTGATGTGATATTTTATTTGGATTTATTTTTAATTTTGTAACCAATTTATCTTTTAGTGAAAAAAAACCAAAAAAAAAAACCAAAAAATCTCATTCCCAAACAGCGCCATTGACTTGTTCCTCGTCAAAAGAGTTTGGATCATTACGGCTATTCATGGTTGATTTTTTTTCGCTTCCCCCACAATTTTACAAAAAAAATCTTCTGCATTGAGCGGTGAGTTTTAATGAGAGACACTCTCCATGGTCCTACACTTTGTTATCTGCGCTTGTCTACAACTCACAAATGTTATACTCTAAACTTTTTGAATTTTGTGTAAACCCCCTCTCTCATATATTTTCTCTTTGTGAAACGAAGCCAAAAAAGGGAGAAAAAAGAAAAGAACTCACAAATGTTATACTCTAAACTTTTTGAATTTTGTGTAAACCCCCTCTCATATATTTTCTCTTTGTGAAACGAAGCCAAAAAAGGGAGAAAAAAGAAAAGAAAAGAGGAATAGAATGTTCAGAGTGATGTTCTAAATTAGAGCTTTTCAATGAACATTTAAAGATTAGAGCTTCTCAATGAACATTTAAAGTTTTGCCAGAATCGACATAACTCACTAGTGGCTCGACATGAATACCTTTATCATCGATAACTTCCTCTTTCTCCGTCACATATATGGAAGATTATTGTCAAAATTGATATTCACAGTAACATATTATAATCGAAACTAAAACTTTTGAACTAAGAGCTAAATCGATTTGAATGGTTTTACCATCTTTTAAATAGAAATCAAAACTAAAACTAATAAAAACTGAACAAAATTGACCGTTCAAACATGATAAGATCAGTTTATTAATTTCATTGATTTTTTTTAACACCCTAACTCTTGCCTTGTACATTTTCTATATTTGATTAATTTAAAAAAAAAAATCGCAAATGTACATTTAGGCCAGAAGCATTTTAAAATAAAATAAAACTATTGATTAAAAATAACAAAACAAAAAATTTTAAAAGTTATATTTGAAAATTCAAAATCAAAATTAAAATGGGACTTGTCGCTTTTAGAGTCAACACTACCGCATGTTGTTGAACTCGAAATTTATGTATTGCAGGTGGAGCATCTCTGGCTCTTGAATTCTTTATTTTAAAAAGCGCTTTTCAAAAAAATTCTGCTTATTATTTTTTAAAAATACTTTTTAAAAAATTTTATTTTCTTATTTTTCATATTTTTTTGTTTTTACTGAATTTTTTTAATATTTTGAATAATTTTTTTAATTTTTAAACATACCTAACATAAATATACCTAAAAAATAAAAATAAAAATAAAAATTGAAAAAAACCCTCTAAAAATTTACTAAATACCAAAAATACAAAAAAAAAAATACAAGAATTCAGTACATTTTTTATATTTTTATGTATTTATTAATTTTTAAAAATATTTTTTCACAAATTTTTTACTTTTTAGATACATTTAAGTAAGGTGCATCTAAAAAAGTTAAAAAAAATGTTTAAAATTTTAAAAATATTCACTAAAAACAAAAAAACACAAAAACAAAAAAACTCCAGTTTTCAAAAAACTAAATTCAAAAAACTCAAACCAAACACAATACGTTTTTAAAATTTTTATTTAAAAAGTTTTAATGTTGATTGATTTGGCATCCCATACAATAGTTATTTTATTTTCTTTTATTTATTACATCAACTCTTTTTTTTTTAATATATTTTTTCATAAAAAAATTTAAAAAATATATTTATGTAGATTATTCGAAACAATTTTAGATCTAGCAAATCAAGTGATTTTTACTTTCTTTTTTATATATATTTTTTTCTAACTAGATAAATGTGGTTAAAGGAAGTCATTCCCCATATGTTATAATTTGGTGAGGATTTTTTTTTTTTTTTTTTTTTTTTTTTTTTTTGGAGACGGTCCAACCCACTGTGATCCCATTTTGAGGGCGTTTTTATGATTTAAATAATTCATTTTGTAGAGTTTTTTAAAGAAATTATGCATATAAAAAATTAAGTCAATCAGACGTTGAGAGTCATTCGATTAGATCACATTTTAAAAAATAATAATTAACGGAAAGTATAATTTTAAAAGTAGTCTGTTAGTTATTTTTTAGAAAAATATAATCGGATCAAATAGCTCTCAATATCTGATCGACTTGATTTTTTATATGCGTGATCTCTTTGAAATATCTTACAAAATAAATAATTCAGATTATTGAGATAAGTCCAAAATGAATCCACATTGAGTTAGGCTGAACTATCTAATTGGAGAGATTCCAGTCCCAAAAGCTACCAAATTGGTTTTTTTATTTTAATGTTCTCCATGTGAATTTTAGGTAACATAAAAAATAAAAATAAAAAACGACATCTTATAAAGAGTAAGGTATTATAGCACTTTGAAATCAAATTGAAAATTGAACCATTATTTGACAAGATTCAACACGGTAATAATGACATAAAACCTGATAGTCAATTGGGTAATTCATCAATTGAAATTGAGACCCCCTGATTTGGTGGACCATTACTTCCATTATTGTTATTATTATTATTCCTTTTGCTTTTTTATACACCGAAAGCAAGGAGGAATAAGTTGAGAAAATAAGAGGGAAAAACTACAGGAAAAAAGAGAAAAGAAGACAGAAAATGCAAGCATTAGCATAATTAACTTCCTCTAAAGGTTAATTTTAATTTTTTTTAAATTTTTTTTTCAACATCGAAGCATTTTACTGTCAAATCTAGACCTTTGTGTCCATAATCAAATATTATTGTAAAAATTATACTAACATTTATTGACATTTGAAAAAAAAAAAACAAAAACAATCACTAGTGTTACATTTCGAATTCTGTGTATATAGAAGAATTAGAACTGTTTTGGACGCACAGCTCTTTTTCATTTTCTTTCAGAGGAGGGGAGTGAAAATCAAACCCATGACCTCCTAGCGAAATTCACGAGTTCTGTCCACCAGGATAATCCCAGTGGTTGCACAGTTACAGTTCTTATTCATGCTATCTCTTATGCTGTGTTTGGTTGAGGTATTTGATGAGGGATTTGGAAAGGGAAATGGAAAAGATAGGTGAAATGTGAAAAAAATATATCTACATTTCACATAGTTTCACACACCTTTTCCCTTTCCCTTTCCAAATCCCTCCCCAAATCCCCCAACCAAACACAGCATTAATAATTGGCTGAAAACACATGGTACAAAACAAACAAAGGAACCCTAACTTTGCAATTTCACTATACAAAAATATACAATCACAGTATGTATATGCCCAAAGCTTACAATTCCAGTCTAGTAATTACACCCAACAAGGTCACTACAACTCAGAATTTCCCAGTGCCAAAAACTTGACTCTTAGCAGCTCCCAGAGAATTTTCAGCGTAAACAAGAAAAAGTAATCGAGTCAACACCAGAGTCGTGTCAGAATACAGAACAAGTTATTCAAAACATAAGATTGTGCAAGGCTGTATATACTACACAACATATACCAAAATCGGGGAGCTTTTAAAGCAATACTATGTTCTCCTCGATGATCCTGCCTCAGATCTCTGATCAAAGGCAAAAAACGAAGTCAGATAGTTCCTAACCCAAGTTAAAGGCACAGAGTTTGTAATCCAAGAGGGTGAAATCTCGAAATATGTAGGCTTTGGAGTTGAGGGGCAGCCAATTGATTGGATTAGTTCATCAACAGCCAGTACACGAAACTTTGGGGGTGCATTCAGAGCGATGTTGTGAACACAGTGCTCATAGATCTTCCCATTCTTATCGAGTTTGTACTCAGAAGTGCCGTCAAACCGACCGCGGCTCTCCCATGGTACTCGTGGGATGCCGTGGACAGTCCAGCGGACGATAATGGTGCTTTCAGCAGGCTGCCACACAGTGATGATGTCAAGCCACAAGGCCCTGAAAAACATCCTGCCGTGGAATCGTAGTGCCCAGAAAATTGACTTGTAGTTCTCAATTCCAAAGAAAGTGTTGAGTGGATCTTTGAAGACAATATCATCCCTATACAAAGAAAACGAAAGACATTGGCATAATATTGAGAAATAAATATTAAATACGGAATCTTTGATCCAGTTTTGGGATAAATATTACTCCATTAAGAGCGTGTCACTGAACAGAAAACACGTAGCATTATCAGTATCCCTTGACTTTATAATTTTTTTCTGTTTTGGAAACTTATTGATATCCCTTGGCTATATGCTATACTTGAATAAACTTAAAAAGAAAAAAAGTCTCTCAAAAACTCGTATGGCCAATAATAAATAATGTATATAACCCTAAATTGCATGTGGTTCTCAACTAGACAGTAATGAGCATGAGGCACCCGAATACCTCATTCATGCAGTAGGAAAAGACATCATTCATTAAATTTCAAGCATGTATACATAAACAAGTATAGAACAGTTCAAGAATACTATAGAATATTTTTTATTAACCATGCATGGGACATTCTTATTCTCTCTTAGCCTGGAATGACATACGGTTCCATTTGTCATGCGTACAATGAATTGATTGGACACAAATAGAAAAACTTCATATTCAGACCCAAGAACACCAAACAAAAACAAAAACTATGGCATATACCATGCTAACTTCTAAATGAAGGCCAACAAGATTCTGACTCCTATTTCCAACTCCACATTTAACAGCAGAACCCAAGCTCCAATTGAAAGACTTCAGCAATTTCAGTATACAATATTGTGTATAAGCACAGACATCGTCCACACCCTATGCATGAGCTCACTGGCTGTTGTATAAATATACAACGGCATTTGGGGAGAAACTTTCTGGGGAGGATTTTAGACACAAACACTTCATTAACTGAAAGTGAACATATATGAAAGGTACAACAAAGAAGTTCAATAAATTTTGCAGTAGCATAGTTAAGTTTCACAAAATTTCTCTTGTTGTCTTGTGAGTTGATTTTCATTTTGTTGATGGGATACCCCCTCCACCACCCTCTGCATCTTGGCTCGTTCTATTTACTACTCGAGATCAATCTGATCTTTTTGTTCACTACATTAGAGTCAGACTAGGAAAGAAATAAAAAACAAAAAATAACAATTTATAAATGGATTTTGTTAATGTGTGACCTTAGGGCACAAGTTAAAAAACTTGTACATTCTATATGAAAGTCATTGTAATAAAAAATGTACAATTTTTTTAAGCATACTTAACATGTATCCTAAGAACACACGTTAACAAGACCTTTTACACATTACAATTTAATTTTCTAAAAGTCAGGGAAATTGAATTGAGTTTAAATTGAAGTTTTTATGAATTAATTTCATTATGTAGAGGTTGGTTTGATGTAATTCATTTTGTTGGGGGGAGGGGGGGGGGGGGGGGGTTTTGTAAAAAAATATTTGAAAAAATTCTTGAATAATACAAAAATTGATTAAATGATTTAATTTGTTAAATCCAACATACAATTAATATTTAATGCCAAAAGTACATGTTTAAGAAAAAAATAAATAAATATTACTATATTAAATAACTTACAAATCGTAGCTTAGTTTTAAAACCATGCTAGACACAAAACTAAAAATGAAAAAAAGTCTAGTAAAAGAATTTTATCTTTGTAATAGAAAAAAATATTGTTTCAATTGAGATATGACACGGTTTGAGTATATACTAGATATGTCTAGGTATGTCAAAAATTAAGAAGAAAAAATTTGAGTATGCGCTTTGTGTACCCGGTACATATGCAGAAATACCATATGTCGGTAAGTACTCGATACGGGTATGGCATATTTGTCAAATTATCCATGCTTCATAATCTCAAAATAATTCTAAATGAGAATTTTATATGTATTATTATTTTTTTGCAAAGTATATATTACTTTAATTTTAATTTTTTCATTATTGAGATAAAAAATTACCTATTAAATATTTAAATTTAATTTTTTTTTTTACCTATATAATCCATTTTTTTATCTTTTTATCTTTTTTCCATCACATCACCTCTCTACTTTTCTGCACATCTTTTCGTAAAAAGACAAAATGTGCACTTTTTTAGGACCCCCCAAACCAACCCTAAATAGGGAATCTTTGATCCAATTTTGGGATAAATATTAGAGCTTACTCCATTAAGAGCATGTTACTGAACAGAAAACACATAGCATTATCAGTATCCCTTGACTTTATAATTTTTTTCTTTTTTGGAAACTTATTGATATCCCTTGCCTATATGCTATACTTGCATAAAATTAAAAAGAAAAAAAGTCTCTCAAAAACTCGTATGGCTAATGATAAATAATGTATATAAGCCTAAATTGCATGTGGTTCTCAACTAGACAGTAATGAGCATGAGGCACCCGAATACCTCATTCATGCGGTAGGAAAAGACATCATTCATTAAATTTCAAGCATGTATACATAAACAAGTATAGAACAGTTCAAGAATACTATAGAATATTTTTTATTAACCATGCATGGGACATTCTTATTCTCTCTTAGCCTGGAATGACATACGGTTCTATTTGTCATGCGTACAATGAATTTATTGGACACAAATAGAAAAACTTCATATTCAGACCCAAGAACACCAAACAAAAACAAAAACTATGGCATATACCATGCTAACTTCTAAATGAAGGCCAACAAGATTCTGACTCCTATTTCCAACTCCACATTTAACAGCAGAACCCAAGCTCCAATTGAAAGACTTCAGCAATTTCAGTATACAATATTGTGTATAAGCACAGACATCGTCCACACCCTATGCATGAGCTCACTGGCTGTTGTATAAATATACAACGGCATTTGGGGAGAAACTTTCTGGGGAGGATTTTAGACACAAACACTTCATTAACTGAAAGTGAACATATATGAAAGGTACAACAAAGAAGTTCAATAAATTTTGCAGTAGCATAGTTAAGTTTCACAAAATTTCTCTTGTTGTCTTGTGAGTTGATTTTCATTTTGTTGATGGGATACCCCCTCCACCACCCTCTGCATCATGGCTCGTTCTATTTACTACTCTCGATCAATCTGATCCTTTTGTTCACTACATTAGAGTCAGACTAGGAAAGAAATAAAAAACAAAAAATAATAATTTACAAATGGATTTTGTTAATGTGTGACCTTAGGGCACAAGTTAAAAAACTTGAAAGACTTGTACATTCTATATGAAAGTCATTGTAATAAAGAATGTACAATCTTTTTAAGCATACTTAACATGTATCCTAAGAACACACGTTAACAAGAACTTTTACACATTACAATTTAATTTTCTAAAAGTCAGGGAAATTGAATTGAGTTTAAATTGAAGTTTTTATGAATTAATTTCATTATGTAGAGGTTGGTTTGATGTAATTCATTTTGTTGGGGGGAAGAGGGGGGGGGGGGAACCACTACACTATCACGATTTTGAATGATCATATTGGACAAAATTCCTGAAGATGCCACTGGGTGGAGGGATTTAATTTTGCAGATAAAACACCCAATATGTGCCGTGATGTCATTGAAATGATTGACAAGAAAAAAAAAAATCTAATTATTTATTTCATCAAGAACTATCCCACAATTAATTATAATCACTGGCTAAAACTTGATTGCTAGGAAAATGAAGTGAGTTAATTTTCACTACACGTTTTCATGTATTTCACTGCTAAGTGATCAAGCTCTGTTGTACTAAAATCATGATATCACAGCTCTTGAAAAGCTTACACTTTACAGTCATACACAAATTTACCTCCACTCCATTAATATCGATAACAACAATTAGTGGAAAACTACCACTTATATGGCATACTTAAACAATCAATCAAACATTAGTGCTCCTGTCTCAAACACCAGCCTCAACAAAACAAAAAAGGTCCCAAACATGAATTTTTAGTTGCTAATGGCTCTAGTGTACTTAAATACAATTAGTGCCAATTCAACAAATTGAGGAAAAACCGGTATTCTGAACAACATCCACTCACAAACACACATAAACCCAAGTTAATACATAAAGGGCAAATTTCACTTCACCCTTGTGGTTTGACCCATGTGCGGGGATTATCTCCTTCTCATTTGGAAATAGCAATAACCACATAGTCCCCTTCTGGCTTGTGAATTGAAGTGCACTGTTAAACCCGTAAACAATTTAATAGAAAATACTAAAATACCCTGTATTTAAGTAAGTGTGTAAACTATGACATTTTCATCATTTGTTTGGGCATCAAAAAGTACTTTTAACCTCGTGTGCTTTATTCCCAGCTCGATTTACTCCCTCAAAATTAAAAAAATCCCCTTATGACTGGCACGAGTTATACACTTTGCTTTTTAAGTTGAATGAGATGTTTAACGGTGCGCTTCAGTCTACAAAGTCCACAGACCACGAGGAGCTATGTGATTATTTCCAAATAAGAGGGGGTTATCATGGCCAAACAACAAGGAGTAATGTGAAATTTCCCCATACATAAATGTATACACTTGTATACTTACATATACACAGATAAACCCTTGTATGTGTGGTGCCTATAGACTCAGATTTCTATTTATGTCCAGTTTTCCCTACTTTCCATAACAAGTAACCAATCAAATAAGATTACTTGAGTGAAAATTTGAGTTTCAGTTTCAGCCTTCAGGTCCTATCTACTCACTAAGAATCTGAAGTTCAAAACTTTATTCCCCACATTTCTCAGCGACCAAACACAAAATAAATCCAAAAAGAACGAGGAAATCAAATTCAAACCTGTAGATATCAAAAGTGAGTTCCCGATAGAACAGCTCTGGAAATTCCTCCCGCAGAGTCCGAATCGCATACCCCGTATTCACATAGTAATTATGCTTCTCTTCTTCATTCTCTTTGCTCTGCCTCAGCGGCGATGACGTCGTACTGGTCATCACCGGAGCGGAGAATTGACCAAACAACCACACATTATGCCCTAATTCTGAAATCCCAACCTCCATATCTTTGATCCTCGAACAAACCCTAACCCTAACCCCACCTCTGCATTTTTTCTTCAACACTGTTTGTTTTCCAACATTCCTCGGAAAATTCGTCGGAATTTCCAGGCGGTAACCGGAGATGGAGGAGACTTTGACAGAAGGAACGAGAATAGGCATCGTACGTCAGATTCCGATGAGATTACGACGGAGAATCGGTGGAATTAGAGGTGTGATTGATCGGAAAAGGCCATTTGTGATGCAGAAAGAGGGAGAGGAAAGTGCGGGAATATTCCAGATGGAGTTTGTTTGTTTCCGGAGAAAAATCAAGATTGGGTTTTCTCGGAAATAGAGGAAGAAAAATGGCAAAAGGGCATTGGATAAGTTTTGTTTGGATAATTGGAATTATCGGCTAATTAAATTGGAAAAATTGTGATTGGTAGATAGAAATATCGTATGAGGGACCTCATATAATTTTACCTTTGATTTTTTTTTTAATTTTACCTTTGATATTTTTTTATCGGTTTGACTTTTCATTGATTATTTATTTAAATTTATATTTATTTGTTTAAATTATTTTCTATACATTCAATTTTTTTTATTTATCTGTTCAAATTTTTTATCTACCTATTCAATTTTTTCTTTAAATTATATCCATTTGTTTAATTTTTTCTCTAAATTCTATTTATCTGTTTAATTTTTTCCTAAATTTTACTTATCTGTTGAAATTTTTTAAATTTTTTCACATTATACTCATAAAATTAAACAAATAGAGTATCAGTTCAATTTTTACTCTCCATATCTAGTTTCTCTCTCACGTCATTTCCCCTCTCTTTTTTATTTCAGTTCTTTGAACATCTAGCCAAAGAAGACATTGTTTGGTTTGATTTTGAGAGATAAGTATTCAAAAAATATTTTAGGAAGAGAGTTTAGAAATTTTTGTAATTTATTTGGTTGTATATTTTGAAACAGTAATGCTACAGAGCCCGAATATAGGGGCTCGAATTTGGCTCGAAATTAGGGCAAGAAGGAGGCGGAGGAGGAGGAGGAGAAGAAGGAGAAGAAGAACTCAACTGGAGGGGCCAACAAAATCAGGCAGAGGCGGAGGTGGAGGTGGAGGCGGAGGCGGAGGCGGATGTGAAGGCGGTGACGGGCGGAGGCAGAGGTGGAGACGGGGCTGCGATGCCGACGAACGACGAGGGACGAGCTGCGAGATCGGCCGACGAGCTGGGACACCGACGGGCTGCGATGCCGACGACGACTTGCGTTCTCGCTCTCGCTCTCGCCTCTGTATTCTCTCTCTCGCCTCTGCAACGAAGATGAAGAAAGAAAAGGAAGAAAAGGAAATGAAGAAAAAAAAAAAAAATCAAAACCCAAAACGACGTCGTTTTGGGTTTTGAGCCAAATTCGAGTCACTAATTTCGGGCCCTCAAACATTATTCATTTTGAAAATAATTTTAGAGTTTAAGAGTTTGAGATGATTTGATATTTTATTATAATTAAGTAGATATATGTGAGAGAAAAAGTGATTGAAAAAGAGAGAGGAGAGAGAAAAAATAATTGATTGATATGTAAAAAAGAGAAAGTGATTTTAAAATTTTTTTGAAAAAAATTACAAACCAAACAAAATTTTCAAAATTTTTTTCCAAAATCTTTTCTCAAAACCAAACCAAACAAGGTGAACATTTTTCTCCACCATTTTTCTATTTAGCTTTTCTCTGCCATTTGAATAGATATGATCTATCAAATTTTGTTTAATGTGTTTCATCATCATCAACAACAACAATAAAAACAACACACACACACACCAACAAATAGATTTGTTCCTGATCTGGTGTATATATATATACAAACATATATATATATATACAGAGAGAGGAAGAACAGAGATGAGAGAAAAGAGAATAGAAGAGAAACCCTCACGGCGGCAACGCCTCGTGGATCGGATGGAGATCTCAGAGATCTCTCTCCCTCTCTCTCCAAGTAAACCGAGGAAATACAGTGGCACCATAGACGACGTTGTTACCATGAATAGCCTCAGTCACGTAGATCAGTGGAATCCTAAGCCGAAGCCTTCTGGAATCCGTCAATCATGTCCGCCCAATCCGACGACACTGGTTTTTCAAACGGTCCACCGCCACCAGCACTCAGAATACTCCCTGCAATGCTCAATCGTCGATCAAATCAACAAAATGTATACATTAATATATATATATATAGAGAGAGAGAGAGAGAGAGAGAGTTGTGTTTGAGAGGTTTTGGCCTAGCGAAACATCACCGGGATCGACATTGCCGTTTTTTAACCGAGATTATGCAATATTGGGTTTAATGAATTTGTAGTATGAGATAAATTATTAAATAAAATTGTGTAATTGTGTAATTAATTTTATATCTTTAATTGTATTACATGTATGGATTATGAAAAATTAAAGTAGAAAGTTGATAGAAAAATATTTATATAACACTATATATTTAAAGGACTTGTTTATTATTTATTGTTTAAGATAAAATTGTGATTTCAACAATCTAACTATTAATTAATGTTTATGTTTATAAAATTTCTCATTTATTATTTGAATTTTTCAGTCGAGAATGTATTTATTTCTTACTTAGTTGTATTTTGGGTACAAATCAATTTATCTATACAAGTCTCTATACTCTGTATATATATATATGTATATATATCACATATTAATTTAAGAAATGTAAATAATTATAAAACTAACAGTTAATTAAAAAATCACGTGTTACATATCTAACCACTAATAATTTATAGAAAATCGAAGAAAGATTTCCAAATATTTTATTCAACACATATCTTTGATTTCACAACATTACACAAATACATAAAGTCTTACAAAGAAACAAGCCCAACAACAATAGATTTACATTAGGATAACTCTTACAGTCATCTATTCTCACACCAAGTACTATTATGTATATAGGAATACCTAATTGTCAAACATGCATATAAAGAGTTTGTGTGTGTGTGTGTATGTGTGTGTGAGAGAGAGAGAGAGATGGCCACTACAGTCTACATCTTAGTAGAAAATGTCATAAACCCCCAAAAACACTTTCTCAATTTAATTCATAATAATGTGATATGATATGTATCAATTTTTAATTTGTCACACAATTATATAATGCTCAACTCCCCTGTTATATCATTATAGGTAATTTTGTGGGGTCTAAGTAGTAGATCTCTAACATTTTTCATAGGCTAATACATCTCAGTTTCAGATCCGGTCCCAGTCCTGGTCTAGATCCCAATTATCTAAACTGGAAGAAACATGTAAACATGTTGAGTAATGCGATTCTAATCCTTTGGAAAATCCATTGGTTGTACACAAGAAGCAAGTCCCATGCCACAACCATAACAGAGAAAATAAAACAAATGATGTAAAGAAGACAACTGAGCCCATTTGGGATGAAGACAAAGATAAGGGAGATTGGAGAAAGAACTCTCGAGACCATAATAACATGGCCAAAGATTCGAGAATACTTTGAACAAAACTGAGCATGTCCGGACAGAGCTGCCAAGCCATAAATGCATACTACTACCACAGAAATTCTCATACTAATAGGATGAGTTTGAAAGAGGGAGTCATCTCCATGTTGATACTTTAGTTGGCTGTCAGCATTCAACAATGTAACAAAGGAGAAGTATGTAGCATGAAATTCTAGTGTGATGTATGAAGAGAGATTCCTTGCCCTTGCAAAAACTAAAAAATAAAAAATAAAATAAAATAAAATAAAATGGATTAGATTTCAATGTTAAAAATTATAGTTCTCCAAATACAAGTGAACTAAAGTGATTGAATATAATAGGGTGTCAGCTACAATTCTACCAATATTTGTGTGACTCTGTGTGGTTTATGCTGGGGATTTCAATATAAAAAATTATAGTTCTTCAAATATAAGAAAACTAAGTGATTGAATATAGTGTTGTGGTTGCAGTGTGTGTACCACTGGTTTAAGTTGTATTTAGATCATATATTTAGATAACGATTTAGAAAAAGAAATGAAAAAATATAAGAAAAAGATGAATGAAATATTAATTAATTTTTTCCTCAATTTTCTTTTCTTTCCAATTGCCTATCTAAATCTATGATGCAAACACATCGTTAAGTATTTAAGTTTAAGAAAAATACTATGTCATCAAACTTTTTTATCACCATTTTATTTTTTATTTTTCTAATATATCATCATAAGGAACAGAATTTGACTACATACTATAATTAGACTTTTGTACGTAATGACTAGAAAATTCAAACCTTTAAGTCGTTAAATCAAAATAAGCATATTTAGTCAATTTCAACCATATCTTTCATGTTTTTGGGATTGATATGCTTAGTATATTTCTTGTTACCTGAGTTAGAAATATGCTTCATGATGTTTATGTATGATATGAGGCCCAAAATATGTGGGGCCTATGTATTATCTAAACTTTGACATAAAATAGGCTAATAAAAATTGAAGGTTATATCCTTTGTTTTCCAAACTCTAATAGATTTTAAGCCACTTTCACCATTTTTGTTAAATTTAGAGTTTTACGTAATCATTTCCCTTAAAAGCAATGGGGTTAAAAACTAGACTCATAAATCAATTCTGGAAACTCTTACAAATTATTAATAACTGGTTAGAGAAAATGAATGTGAATTTCAAAATCAGCACATTTGATTTGTTTTTCTGTCAAAAAAATAACCAATGTACACTGTTTGGCCCACAACTCCACTTACCCAAACCACATACTGATGATTACTATCCCATTTTAAAATAGATTTAATAACATTCACTCCCATAAATTTTCATGATTTTAGAGTAAATGAAATGATTTAAAAGATGTGAATTTCCAAATTTGATAGTTCTACAATAGGAGCTAACTAGTAACTAGCAGCACCATAGACATAATTAAATCATATTCATGATTCTTATGCTCTAACCCATGATCCGCATATCATATATCCAAGGCGTGACAGTCGATTTTAGTGTAAATGAGAGGTTCACATAAAGTTTTAATAATTTTTAAATTTTTATAAAATCACACATTGGAAATAAAGAAAAAGAGAGCTCGGAGGTTACTTTCAAGGACATCCTTCCTAATCTTTATTGAAAAACATGTGACATTAGCTATTTGTCTTCTAATATTTAATGAATTAGAATAAAAAAAAATATTTAAGTATAATAATTCGGTCACACTAAAATTATGATGAAAATTACCCTAAAGTACAAAATATTTTGTAATGTTTACTTTGTAAAATTTGGATACTGAATCCACAAAAAAAAAAAAAAAAACAAAAAAATCACTTTAACCTTGCATTTTAATTTTTTCATCTTAAACCTTTGTTTCTAAAG